GGGGGGCGGGGGGCTACGCCGCTTCTGGGAAACTTCAAAGGGGCCGCTCCCCGGCCACGCGGCGGCCCGCAAACAGCGGCTCAACGCAGCGGCACACCGGTCACGGCGATTATCATCATCATGATGATGATGATAATAGCAATAATTATAATGTCAACTTGCAACACGCACACAGCCTCCCTCCGCACACGATTCGCTCTCGCAGAGAGAGAGGGAGAGGACGACTCGGAGGAACCACAGACGAGGAGCGGGAAGGCAGCAGCAGAAGCCGGCGCCCAATTCCAACCGCCCTCCCCCACCCCAAGCTCTGCGGTCCTCTATATGTGGAGGTGTTATCGGCCAATTCATGTGTTTACGTGTGGGAGGAAACCCACGCGTGTGACCCGCGCGCGTGACGGGGAAATACTCTGTCTCGGTACAGAGGAGACAGGACATTAGTCTGTGTACACTATCTGGCAGTGCTGCACAAACACAAATAACTAGAAATAACGCGACACATTCGTCAGTAACACCGTAGTTTTAAAAACAAATATATAGGCGACGTTTCGGGCAATGGCGCTTCTTCATAGCACATAAGCAGAGAGGCGAGACGAGAGACAGAGTGGACGATAAGAGTTGGAGACTGAACATGTTTCCAGCGTGGAGCCTGATCAGAATCACACTTTTTGTGTATTTCCGATTACCAATTGTTCACATGACATATCTATTGTAACTTAATAATAGCTATTTAGTAAACATATTTTTCCTACTAAATAAACAACTCATGTACAATTAAAGCGACATATAAAATGTTGCCTGCAGCCTTTATCCAACATTTGATTGCATTGTTGAGTAGAGAATGACTGTCGCACTCTCCCAGGATTATTTATTTTCTTTATTTTAAAAGCGAAAGTTAAAGGGGTGCGTCTTATACTTCGATAGTGCCTGGAGAAGGGTCATTGCCTGAAACGTCGCATATACAGGGTGGCACAAAACTCCGGACACATGGGGTTTTTAAATCTCTTTTACCACTGCCATTATTTGTCGATTCGCGTCGAGTAACCTGCGTGGCTTCTCACTGGATGGATTGTATGTATTTGATGGATTGTATGTATTTGATGTATTTGATGTATTTGATGGATTGTATGTATTTGATGGATTGTATGTATTTGATGTATTTGATGTATTTGATGGATTGTATGTATTTTATGTATTTGATGGATTGTATGTATTTGATGTATTTGATGGATTGTATGTATTTGATGGATTGTATGTATTTGATGTATTTGATGTATTTGATGGATTGTATGTATTTTATGTATTTGATGGATTGTATGTATTTGATGTATTTGATGGATTGTATGTATTTGATGTATTTGATGTATTTGATGGATTTGATGGATTTGATGGATTGGATGGATTGGAGAGAGCGGCAGAGATCCCTCCTCTCCGCGCCGCGCGACTCTTGAGTCTGTCCCTCGAGGAGGGCCCGAGGCCACGTGCTCGCACCCACCGCTGGGACCACGTGACGCACGCAGCTCACGCATTCGCCGCAGTGTACCAAGAAATAAATAAATAAATGTTTGAATAATTTTTTTTAAACATCTCATCGCTACCCACGAATCTAGAAATGTCTTAAATCGCGAGAGGGGGAGGGCGGGTACGAACGGAAGGTGGTGGTGATTATTGTGTGTGAGAGGGGGGGTGAATAGTGAACTCCTAATCTTCACCCTATGTGCGGGGGGGGGGGGGGCTGGGGGGGACAGGAGCGAGGGTGAATGGTGACACCCCCCCCCAATCTTCATGGCGCTGCGCGAGAGGGGGCGCCGTGGTGCCGCGATGTTTACTACCTCGCCTGGTACACAGGAGGTCGTGGGTTCGATCCATACCCTGACACCTGGATATTTGGAGTTTGCAAGTTCTCCCTCTCTACCCGCGGCCGCGTGGATTTTTCTCCGGGTCCTCCGGTTTTTCACTGCACATATAGAATCAACATCACGCGTTTAGAGTGTTTGGCTGCTATACATTTCCACTTGATAAGCCACTTCGTTGAGCTATCGTTTGTGGCCAGGTCACTTCTGAAAAAAGAGCTCGATAGCTCAGTGCGCCTTGCGTCGTAAAAGAATAGAGTGTCGTTCTACTCTTCCAGCCTTAATAGGTGCTCGCTAACACCACCGGTCCGTGCCAGCCCATGCCGTAAAACACGCGGGTAGCGAGTGAATGCCCCCCCCCCTCTCTCCCGCTCTCTCCCGTGGCCCCACGCATGCGCCTCCCTGCGCAGTGTTGTTATTACAATGATGATGATGGTGGTGGTGATGGCTATAACGCTCGTTATTCTTGTCGTGATTCACGCGGCCTGTCCGTGCCACTGAATGGGGCCTGGCGAGCCCAGGGGGCACGATACCCCCCCCCCCTCTTTCCCAGCTCGCCATTGACGGCACCGTTTAGATGACAATCACAATCACCACACAATCACCACACAATTACCACTCCACTCCGCGCCGCGCCGCGCCGCTAAGCGGAGTGGAATGGGGCCCCGGGCGCGACGCGGCCTCCCCTTTGTGCCCGAGGCACAAAGGGGAGGCCCCCTCCTCACCCCCCCACTCCTCACCCCCCACACCCCCTCCACTCCTCCACCCCCCCGGCGCTATTCACGAGCCGAGAGGGTGGCGGTGGGGCGGGGGTGGCTTTGTGCAAATTTCACGCGAGACACTCACTCACACACACATACACACACATACACTCACACACATACACACACATACACACAACTCACACAAATACACATACACACACTCACACACACATACACGCGTATTAGACACTCACTCTACCACTCACACACACAGATATATTCACACATACACACACTCATACATATACACACTTATGGATACACACACACACGCGCGTGTTAGACACTCACTTCACCATACTCACACATACACACACATACACACACGCGTGTTAGACACTCACATACACATATATACAAAACAAATATCCCCCATATAGCCTTCAAATACTGTTGGGGAAAGTGCTGTTAGCGAGCACCTACAAAGGCCAAAACACCGCGCGAGGGGGTGGGTGGCCAGCACCACGCCCGGCCGCCTTTGTCTCCCCAGTGCTAGCGATGTTTTTACGCACCACCGCACCAGGTACTCGCTTGAGGCTGAGTCGATACAATTTGTTTTTATTACGGCGAATAGTTTACACAATTCCGAAATTGAGCGACGTGATAAGATAAAACGAGACGATGATGGGAGGAAATTCCAAAGTGCGAGGGAAGAAGCAGAAACGTGAGTGATGTAACCTCCAGGGTGGTGAGTGGGTCACCGGTCCTGGGCCTCCCCTACGTTGACTCAGCCTCAAATTAGTATCTGGTGCGCTGTGTAAACATCGCCAAGAGGGAGACAAAGGCGGCCGGGCGTGGTTCTGCCACTCCCTCCCGTGCGCCGTACTGGCTCTTGCAGGTGCTCGCTGACAGCAACTTGCTCCAACAGTCTGTCAAAGTCTACGGCGCAATGTTTGTCTTTGTTTGAGTGAGCGAGTGGGTGAATGAGTGACTGGATGAGTGACTGGGTGGTTGACTGGGTGGGTGAATGAGTAGGTGAGCGAGTAAGTGGGTGAGTGTATTGTTGTGCCCTGCAGTGTGGTGGGTGATCACAGTGTCGACGAAGCAGTCTGGTAGACCTCAACGCGGGTGGAGGAACCAATCAGCAACGTTCACGGGAACACGAGCTGTGGTAGCAGCGATAGAAAAGTGATATGGAGATGAGAGATTTTCTGTATTTAATCGGTGAGTGCTAGATCATCAATAAAGTTGATTTTGTTTAACCAGCTGAGGACATCACGATACCAGGATAAGTCCCATTTGCATGAGTCACCCTAAGTCACGTAAATCTCACTGCTCTTCGTTCCATTACGTCTCGCGATCACAGTCTGTCTGAGCAAGCATAGCTCGAGGCAGAGCGAGTGCGGTCTCCAACTCCGATCCACTCTGAAGAACATCGCTGGTTTCTAAACGTCGCCTATTCCATGCTGTTATGTTGAAGGCCACAGTGTTATGCACGAATGTGTTGAGTTTGTTGTTGTTGTTGTTATTATCTGTAATTGTGCACCACCAAATAATTGATGACATCGCGCAACATACTTAAAGTCCAAGACTGGGGGACACTTTCACAACTCCGGCAGCTGCCTGATGATGCTGGTTTAACCAGCGACATGTCCACTCGCAATCATTCAACATGAACGGATCTCACTCCAACATTACCAGCGGTGCTGCTGAAGAAGTAATAAATAGGCCACGTTTGTTCACCACGTGATAACTTTATTAAATGGCTGTGTCGGGTGGAGGAGGGGTGTACGACACACATTTTACCCACGCGACGATCTGACCCCGAAACAAGAAAAAGCATACTCTTTGGTTCTTTCGGTAAAGTCACGTAGGTATGAAATAAAATAACATCGTGATCTATTTTATTTTCTACCTACGTGACTTTACCGAAATAACCAAAGAGTATGGTGGATTCCTGAAGTCACGAAAGCTTCAAATAAAAAAAAGCATTTCAATATTTATTAGACGCGAAAGCCGACACGTGTTGAATTGACCCAATAACAATAATCACCACGTGTTTAATGATCTCAGCGAGGCTTTGCCTGAGACGAAACGAACGCACTCAAGAGCTGCTGCTGCTGACAACGCCTCCGCTACGAGAGCCGTCGCGTGAGTTCACCCGAGCGGCGCACGCGAGCTCGCGTGAACTCACGCGAGCTCGGGCGACGAGCCACAGCACGCGCGGCATGCAGGGGTCGACCCGCACCACCGCCAGATAAAGCAAATTGCATAGTAATAAGTCGGTGATGCGGGACGTGTTGGGAGGGCGGGCGGTGATTAGGAATGTATGCGCGTGTGATGGCGGTGTCGGGGTGGTGGGGGTTGGCTGCTCTGCCTCTCATCATTGGTCACGGCAACGGCTGGGGTGGAGGGGGTCGAGGCTGGGGGTGGCAGGGGGGAAGACGGCTGCGCACGCGTCCCAGATACAACCCGCGGAGCCGCGCGCGCCGCCTCACTCACTTTTGTTCCGCGCTCAGAGTGGGACGCACAGAGCGAGCGAGAGAGAGGGGGGAGGGAGACAGGCAGCGACCCCACAGCCTCATCCTCCTGCAGCGCACGGCCACTGAGGCCAGCACGAGCCGTGCACTTCCACGCCCACACGGCCACAGCGCCACTCCGCATCGAGGGGCCACACACTCGATGGGCGTTCCCTCTTAGCGCGACAGTAGCTCCCGTGTGCCGCGCGTATTTACCTGCGCTCCATTCTCAGGCGGGGTGGGGGAGTAATCGAGTCACGATGTCGCCGCTCCTCTCGCTGCTGTTGCTGCTGCTGCTGCCGGTGCCGAGCGCCGCGCAGCGCGGGGCGCTCCGGTTCAGCGTGCGCGAGGAGGAGCCCCCGGGCACGGTCATCGCGCGCCTCGCCGACCTCTTCCTCGAGCAGCAACGCGACGGGGACGACCGCGACGGCGAGGAGGGCAGCGAAGCGGGGGCAGCGGCGGCGGGGGCCGCCCCGTCGCGCTTCGTGGTGATGGACGCGCGCGGCGCGGACCTCCCGCTCGGCGTGCACGGACGCGACGGCACGCTGAGCGTGGCCCGCGCGCTCGACCGCGAGGCGCTGTGCCCGCGCGCCGACCCGGGCCCCGTCGCCGCCGCTTCCGCCGCCGCCTGCGTCATCTCCATGGACGTGGCGGCCGAGTTCGAGGAGCCGCGCGCCGCGTTCCGCCTCGTGCGCGTGCACGTGGAGGTGCTCGACGTGAACGACCACGCGCCGGAATTCCCGCGCGCCGTCATCCCCGTGGAGGTGAGCGCGAAGGTTCACGATGATGGAGATGATGATGCGGTGGTGACAATGTCGACCATGATAATGAAGGTGCGTGAGTGTGCAATAGGTGAATGACGGTGCGCGCGTGTCTCACGATGACGCGTTGCTCCTCTCGACCAGGTGAGCGAGAGCGCCCCCGTGGGCACGCGCTTCCCGCTGGACGCGGCGCGCGACCCGGACGTGGGGGAGAACGCGCGCATCGAGTACTCCCTGGCGCCCTCGCAGCACTTCAGGCTGGAGGTGGGGGCCGCGGGGCCCGGCCAAGGGGCCCTGGCCGAGCTGGTGGTGACGCGCGCGCTGGACCGCGAGGAGCGCGCCCTGCACGAGCTGCGGCTGACGGCGCGCGACGCGGGCGCGACCCCGCGCGCGGGCACGGCGCTCGTGCGCGTCAGCGTCCTGGACACCAACGACAACAGCCCCGCGTGGGCGCGCGCCGCCTGGGAGGCCGAGGTGCGCGAGGACGCGGCCGCGGGCTCCACCGTGGCGCGCCTCTCGGCATCCGACCCGGACGAGGGCCCCAGCGGCGAGGTGGTCTACTCGCTGAGCGCGCACGCGGGTCCCGACGCGCGCCGCCTGTTCCGCGTGGACGCCTCCACGGGGCTGGTGACCCTGGCGCGCGCGCTGGACCGCGAGCAGCGGGCCTCGCACACCGTGCACGTGCAGGCCAGCGACCTGGGCCCGCACGCCGTGCCCGCGCACAGCCTCCTCACCGTGCGCGTCATCGACGTGAACGACAACGAGCCCGCGCTGCGCGTGCGCGTGCTCGCCGAGCGCGTGTCCGAGGCGGCGCCGCGCGGCACCCTCGTGGCGCACGTGACGGCGTGGGACGCGGACGCGGGGGACGACGGCCGCGTGAGCGTGGAGCTGCTGGAGGAGGGAGGCGGCGGCGGCTCCGCCGCGCGCGGGTTCCTGGCGCTCGTGGCGCGGGACGCGGACGGAGCCGCGGCCTCGGCGGCGGGGGGGGCGGGGGGAGGCGGCGGCGCCGCCTTCGTGCTGCTCACGGACCGCGCGCTGGACCGCGAGCGCGCGGAGGAGATCAACGTGACGGTGGTGGCACGCGACCACGGCTCCCCGCCGCGATCGTCCTCGCGTTCCTTCACGCTGCGCATCGCCGACGAGAACGACAACGCTCCCGCGTTCCCGCGCGCCGTGCTCGACGCCTCGGTGCCCGAGAACGCGCGGCCGGGCACCCTCGTGGCGAGCGTGACGGCGAGGGACGCGGACGCGGCGCACAACGCGCGCGTCTCCTACGCGCTGCTGAGCACGCACGGCGACGAGCACGAAGACGACGTGACGGAGCTGCTGCGCGTGGATCCCGCCACGGGCGCCGTGCGCACGTTGCGCCCGCTCGACCGCGAGGAGCACGCGCTGCTCACGTTCCGCGTCCGCGCCCAGGACTCGGGGACGCCGCCGCTCGCCAGCGACGTCACCGTGCACGTGCGCGTGCTCGACGCGAACGACAACGCACCCGCCATCGACGTCGGCGCGACGCGCTCGCTCGCGGTGCCCGTGGGCGCGCCCGCCGGGCACCCGGTGGGCACCGTGCGCGCGCGCGACCCCGACGAGGGGCTCAACGGCGCCGTGGAGCTGTCCGTGGCGGGCGAGTCGCCGCTCTCCATCTTCGAGCTGAGCCCCGGCACGGGGCAGCTGCGCACCCGCGTCCCGGTGCCGCGCTCCGCGCTGGGCGTGCACGCGCTCGTGGTGGTGGCGACCGACTCGGGGGAGCCGCGCCTCTCCACCACCGCCACCGTCTCCGTCACCGTGATGCTGCAGGAGGAGATGGAGCGACGCGGCGGCGGGGCGGCCGGAGCCGCGCACGGAGTCGCGTACAGCGCCGCGCTGGGCTCGCTCGGCACGGCGTGCGCGCTGCTCGTCCTCGCGCTGGCGGTCGCGGCCGCGAGGCGCGGGGTGAAAAGCGCGTTCAGGCGCGACGAGGAGCGCGGGGGCGAGGAGGAGGAAGAGGAGGAGGGGGAGGAGGAGGGGGCCTCCGACTCGAGCTCCCGCGCGCTGCACGCGGAGCGCGGCGCGGGGCGCGGCTCCCTGGGCAGCCTGGGTCTCAGCAGCAGCTGCAGTAGCAGCAGCAGCAGTGCGGACGCCGCTCCTCTCGAGCGCACGGCTCATCCCGAGTACCTGAGCGTTGGCGACGCGGCACCGAGGCCCCTGGAGGTGAGACGCACGTGGTTTGGGAAAAATGATCAGAGCGCAACGTTTCGTGTTTGAGAATTGCCGGCAGAAGCAGACATCACACAGCTACCTCTGGTCCACAGAGCAGAGGGCAGCTCTTTACCACGCGCTATGCATTGTGGGAGTCATGTTCATGGCATGGCAGCAAGACCGATATTTTTATTCTCAATTCCGGAATTTAGCCAAAGTGCACGACAGTTATTTTTTTTCCGCGCTGTTTTCTTTCGGTCATTTGGTGACCGGGCTGAGACGCTGCTGGTTCATTAACGGTGCGGCGGGGCTGCCCTCTCGCCCCCTCTCTCTCTCCTCCTCGCAGGTGTCGCAGCTGCTCGCCCTGCTGCACCAGGGCGAGTACCACCCGCGGCCCAGCTTCAAGGGGAACGCGCGGACGCGCAGCTTCAGGTGAGACGCGGCTCCTCCACTCCCCCCCCCACGCCCCTCCCTCCCCACACTCCCCCTCCCCCAATCCCCCTCCAACCCCACACTCCCCCTCCCTCTCCTCCTTTCCCCCTCCCTCCTCCTCCCTCCTCCTCCTCCCTCCCTCCTTCCCCCCGTCCTCACCCTCTCACCGGCGCCTCCTTGCGCCAGACGGAGTGAGCCCCCCCCCCCCCCCCTGGCACCCGCGGTGGTGGCGATCGACAAAATGAAACTCGGCAAAAGCTCAGCGCAGCCCCAAGCAGCTCAAGTATAAGAAACACAAACAGGGTAGAAACAAACACTCAACACTCTTGGGTGAGTGGAGAAAATTCCACATTCCTCTGACGGGAATCGATCACCCGCTTATTTGTTTCGGCCTCACCGTCCAATCGAGTGGAGCAACCAATGGCACAGCGCCACCTACAGAGGGCCATTGCCCGAAACGTCTGTATAGGCGTACGGGGTTAAAGCTATCGCGGCCTCACCGCCTGCGCAGACCCCCGTGAGCGAGGAGATGGTCGTCACGGTCCCTCTTCAAGGAGAGATTATTGGAGCAAAACCCGCAGCGCGCAAGGCGACGAGCACTGCTGAGATCCGCGCGGGAGAGTTCACGAACTCGCTTGCTCAGCTGCCATCTCTTGCCCAACGGAGGTTGGGAGTTTCACAAATCTCTGCGTGATCCGACAACCCTTTGCCTCGAAAGCGCCGAGTTACAGGCGCGCGCGCCACCACTCTCTGTGCCGCGCAATGCAAATCGCCCTCGTCACCCTCGTCACCCTCGTCACCACCGCGACCGTGTGGGTTGTCTTGCCGCAGGAGTTTGCCCACGGAGCCCGACCAGCTGAGCTCGCGGGACAGCGCGCGCGGGGACAGCGACACGGGCGGCAGCGGCTCCGAGGGTCGCGCCTCGCCCTGCGCACTCGGTGAGTCGACGCGGCGCACGGCGACCCCACCCCACCCCTCCCCTCCTTCCCACCACCTCACCCACTCACCCCCTCACCATCTCACCTCCTCACTACTACCACCCCCTAGCACCGAAGCCCTTCACCCCACCCCTTCCTCCCGTCGCAACCCTTCCCCCACATCACCATCTCGCCCCCTTACCACCAACCCCTCACCACATCACGCCACCACCACCACCGCCCTCACCGCCCTCCTCTCCGTGGCCGTGCAGGAGGAACGTGCACGGCCGAGTGCAGGGTGCTGGGCCACTCGGACTCGTGCTGGCTGCCCGCCACGGACGCGCCCTACCCGCGCGGAGGATCTCCTCCGCTCGTCGACGCCGCGCCGCCGCCGCCGGCTCTCAACAACCTGCGGGGCGGCCCCCCGCCGCACGCGGCCTGCAGCACCCTGCCACCCCGCTGCGAGCGGTGGCTCGCGGGGCCCCGGGGCGGCGGGGCCGCGAGCGGCGCCGACCTCCGGAGTCTCGACGCGCCGCCGAGGAAGCTCTTTCCCCGCGGGGCCGACGAGGCCGCGAGTGCGCCGCGCCTGCCGTGAGAGCGCGGGGCGCCGTGCCGCCCGACGTTCCGTCGCGACGCTCGCCGCCTCGGCCCGAGGCGAGCGGAGAGACCGAGAGACGACAGCGGCGTCGTCCTTCGCGAGGGTCGAGGGTCGCCCCCGGTGACGCGCTGTGGTACAGCGCGGGCCGCACGGGGCTACGGCGCGAGGCGCTTTGTCTTGAGCAGAGGTCCTCGTCCATTCCCGTTGCGCGGCGCACTTCAGAACTTCAGTAACCTGAGAACTTATTCGAGTTTCGCGGCTCACCGGATCAAAAACTCTTTGCCCAACTGCGCTCGCGCGACCGAGGGAGTTGAGAGGGCCGGGGTGGGGGCTGACGGCTGTCGGTCACCGTCCCGAGCCGTGATCAATGGAGAGGCGAGGACGGGAGATGGGGGTGGGGCCTGGATCGGCCACTGAACGGCACGGCGAGGGAGACTTCGTCTGTCCTAGCTTGCAAACAGCGAGCTTCTTTCCTATCATTGCGAAAACCTCGCGGCACACGTGGCACTTCGCCACGGCGCAGCGAGTCGCCGCTGCGGCCGTGCAGCACTTTGTCTCGAGGAAGTCGTCAGCGGTCTGGTGAGCGAGTGACGCTGGCTCCGTGCACCCGGGAACCCCCCCCCCCCACGTGGGGGGGGGGGGGGGAACACGCGATTTTATTCGCGCGGTGCCGCGGACTTGTACATGAGAAGCACAAATATTTATTTTTCTATCCACTTGTTGATGATTTATGAGCGAAAACTGACTTTATTCAGCGTGAAGCGGACCATGCAGAGTGCATTGGGGCAACGCAGATGCACTCGCCGGTACTCTCAGTGTTCACGTGTCCATTGCCAAGTTGACAGCAGCTCACCACTACGAGCTGCCGCTGCACGTTGAAAGTGATGGGGGACAGATTCTACTGATCCTCTGACAAGTTGTGTTGTATACATCTGGCCAGGGTGGATGAAGAGTAGGCCAAGTACCCTTCGTAGTGGCCAGCCGTCGCGTGGCTGAGCAGTGACAGGGCTGCACCTTTAACCGACATCTTGGAACACCCAGAAACATATCCGGTTGCAAAAGTTGGTGAAACCCACATTGCCTGTCTCGTATAGAAGTCACGTGTTTACTCCAGGGAGAGTTGACCTGTGCGCTATTCAATTATTTTAGCAAATGTCTGTGTCGACTTCAGTGGGAGGTCCCAGTCACTGGGCCCCAAGTATCCCAGGATCAGTCATCAACTCGTGAGCCATGTGGCAGAGGCGGAGCTCTCGAGGGTGCAGGCGGTGCACCTGCACTGGGGCCCACTTGCCAGAGGGCCCCAGGCGCCGGCTTGCAAAGCGAGCAGGGGCCTCATCTCGTCCCTTGCACCACGACCCATGCCGGCCGCTATTGGCACACCCATCGTATGTCGGAGCGGCACAGCTGCAGCCATGCCGACAGTCCAGGGGCCAAAGCAGAGACTGATACCGCCTACGGCACGAGAACTTGGGCCACACCGAGTGAATTAGACGGCTTATGAGAATGAATCACTTGATAATCCCACTCGTTTAAAATTGGCATCGCATAATTCACCGTTATTGTCCACCTACAGAAAGTGTAACTGATAAAGTGATGCCACCTCAGTTGGTACCGATGAGTGACACGTGTGTTGGTCTGGGCTCATGGGTGACAAGTCGGAAATGCGTTGTAATCAGTGTCCGCCACTCTGCTCGCCACTGCCGCCGCTGCTGCTGCGCTGGTGTTCATGCTGCGAGGCGAACAGCGACTACCCCGCGTGCCGTGATTGCTCCCATTCACCCGCCTGTTGTGTGTGACTGATGCACGCGCGGTGTGTACAGCCACACCTTGTATTGTACTGCAGTTGTCTGAAGTGTTGACGGTAAAATCGACGCTTTATATATTTTTGTATTAGAGGCTGCTTAAGCATCATCGACCGCTTTGAGTGGATTCATGTGCATGGCTGAGCTTCACGTTGACCTGCTCCACACCTGTATTCACACATGCATGGCGTTTTGCGTGACTGAGCGCGTCAGTCGGAGTGCTGTCTAACTCTAGAGCAGCAGAGCTGTTCTAATCGCATTCAAAGTCCTCGCCTTTTTTTCCAGCTTGCTGCGTCTTTAATAAAATAAAAATCCACGTGGTCCATCGGGCGCGTGTGTGACTCCACTGGTTGATGGTTAACTGCCTGAATCACTGCGTCTCTCCTTCATAATGGGGTTCTGTGCACACACGCAGATTACACCATGATCACTTTAACACGGAGTAGGCTTTCACGACCAATATTATTTACAATAAAGTTTTTTGGGTTAGATCTCGTTATTATAAATGTGTCGTAACCCTCCACCACCCGACACAGCCAGTAAGGTTTTTACTGGTAGGAACCTCCTGGTTACACCAGCCCACAGGGGATTATTGTGTCCGTCCGTCTGTTGTGCAGGGAGGGGCTGGGTGGGGAGGGGCTAGGTGGGGAGGGCTGGGTGGGGAGGGTGGGGCTGGGTGGGGAGGGGAGGGTGGGGAGGGGCTGGGTGGGGAGGGCGGGGAGGGGCTGGGTGGGGAGGGACTGGGTGGGGAGGGTGGGGCTGGGTGGGGGGTGGGAGGAGTGGAGCTGGGTGGGGAGTGGCTGGTCACCCCGTGGTGCCCTTATAAAACTCAACGTTTAAAGGGAAAGTGTGACAGGGGATCGGGGCATTTGCCAGGAGACTCTCCACCCGCGCATTGGTTGATCTGTTCAACAAAGACCCGACAAGAACAACCACGCGCCTGGGACGTCTCTCGAGATGCGACAGGGAGCAGGGTGTGGTGCTGGCTGGGAGGAGTGGGCAGGCTGGAGGAGGAAGGCCTCACGCCAGACGCTGCTGCGGCACTTTTACACAAAACTTTAAGGGGGAAGATGTCGCCTCGACAGCAACTGTGAGTGGATGTCAGCAGTGGCGAGGTATGGCGGCATCAGAGGCAATGGTCGCTTCTAGTTTGTTTTCATAAGGGGCCGTCCATAAATGACGTCACGCACCTAGGGGAGGGGGGGAGGGTCAGATATTGCTGACTGTGTGTGACGGAGGGGGGGAGAAATGTGACGTCACATCAAAATGCGCAACTTTAAATAAATATAGACAACACGTTCTACTTCATTAAATTGACTTTTTAATAAATGTTTTCTCCTACAACATCAGTGCAGCGCCACATTAAACACGCACTACAATGGCAACAATTTAAAGCGATTTTAAGCATGTTTTATATATTTGGGAGGGGGGGGGGGGCAAAGCTTTGTGACGTCATATTTGAGGGGGGGGTCTGACTTTTTGTGACTTCATGTGACGAAGGGGGGTGGGGGTCAAAAATCGCGTGACGTCATTTATGGACGGCCCCTAAGACTGCTGATGTAGAACTACAATTTCACATTGAGGTGGTCAAACCCAGACAGCCGCGTCAGGAGCAGCGCAGTGGATCATCGCTGTGACGTCTCCGGCCTGTTCTGGATGACCACAGGCGCACACTCCGACTGGAGAGTTTTTAATGTTCCACGTGTGCATCAGGTACCCGCACCTGCCATGGTGTGTGCAGCGGATTCGGTTTAGGGTGCACCATGAGCTTCGTGGAAGGTCAAACCCAGGGATGTTCTGCGTTTGGTCTTTCACAACAAGGTGGTGTTTTTGAGTTATTTTGACCTCCATTCAGCTCTGCAAGTGTCAAGCGGGTTGAACTCGCGCTGTTCAAGGCGCAGCGCACGGGTCCAAATGGGCTCGGCGGGACTTCAAGCGGTGACGAGGAACGTTCTTGGGGTCCTGGTGATTTAGAAGGCGACTGATTTTCTTGATTCGCAGGACTTCCCGGAGGGGGAGAGGTGAGTGACAGCACGGGCAGCCAGGGCGTTGGGGCGACTCGTGGGTTCCAGTGACACACCGCATTGCAGTGTTCAGTGGGACATCCACCAGTCGAGTGGCGACTGCTTCTGGTGGAGCACGCGGCTCGGCTGCAGGGAGCACGAGAACCCGCCTTGATGTCCCGTGCTGCCCCCCTGGTGCTCGCCGGTTTGTGGACCAGGTTGACCCTTGTTGTCGTTGTTGTCGTCTTCACGGCGACCTTTTGAGGTGGTCGTGGAAGGTGAGCGGACGGTCCACTTCACTCACTCAGGTTGTGACGAGGGGTTTCCCTGCGAGGCCCGGTGTCCTGCCACGCGGCCACACAGCCGAGGGCTGAACCTTCCCACCCGCCTTGAATACGTCAGTCAACGCAACCTCTTAACAGCATTGTGGAATCTGGGCAAATTCTAGATTTGAAGCTTTTGTGACTGCAAGGATTCATACTCTTAGGTTTTTTCGGTAAAGTCACATAGCAATAAATAAATAAATAGAAATAATATAATTATTAGAAATAAAATAATTAGTTCTATGATACAATTTTAATTTATTCCTACGTGACTTTACCGAAAAAACCTAAGAGTATGGCCAAATTAAGTTCAGAACAAAATGTATCCATTGTACCGAAATGCATAGACGCGGCGTAAAACGAATGTCTTGTTTCGCTGTATGGCGCTCACGAGAACATGAAGCCGGCTGACAACGTCTTAAACCCGCTGCCCAAACTGGTGAGCATGGAACGTGGCCACGTGGCGACACGCGCGTCCAGTCGCTCAGACAGAACAAGACTGCGATGGGCTGTGTGAGTAAAGTCACTGCTGTCCCGAGCAATGCGGTGGATTATTTGTGGTTGTACGATATTATGATTACACTTGTCCCGCCAGAGTAACGTGGAATGTAACACAAAGGGTGGACACTCGAGCCTTCGCCTGCGGCGGTAACATCTCAATCGCGTTTTGTCCACCAAGCGCGACCCGTACCCAACAGTCAGCTGATCGGCGACCAGTCGGGCTGCGTGTAAGATGCGAAGCGGAGCGCCCCCACGCTCGGAGCCTGGACTCAATGGTTAAAAGTTAATTTCTCGTTTGGCTTATAATTAGTGGTCGTGCAGGCTGCTTGACCCCACATTGGTGAATGCGGGATAAGTATCCGGTAAATACGCCAACGTTGGGCACCCATGTGGTTGGAACCATCGTCCAACGTTGACCCAACGTTCCATGTTCACTGGGTAAGGAGCAGATTGCAGTGCAAATGTGCTTATACTGGTAGGAACCCACTGGTTCCACCAGCCCACAGGGGATTATTGTGTCCGTCCGTCCGTCCGTCGTGCAGGGAGGGGCTGGGTGGGGAGGGGCTGGGTGGGGAGGGGCTGGTCACCCCGTGGTGCCCTTATAAAACTCAACGTTTAACCTACTCACGCCGGCTTGTGCCCGCCCTCACAGTCGGGCATATTTGCGGAATACACCACGCCGCCGTTGACCCTGCAGGCCATTGACCGAGCAACCCGACGTGTTCCTCGCAGCTCCCTCCACAGGAATGTGTTCCTGCACTGCCCTCTGCTGACGACATCGCCCCAGTGAATGAATACACAGTAGTGCGATGTGCACGTGCATTTCTGCTAAACATAGTTTACTGAAAACTTGTGTTTTATAATCTCAGACTAATAAATATAAATAATGGTATCTGCTCTCGGGTAGGGCCATTGCCCGAAACGTCGGGGCTACTACTACCACTACACGTGTTTTATTACAGAGCAATGCTGATGGGACGGCGTGGAACAATTCCTCAAAAGTGCGCAAACGACGCTTGGAGGAGAGACGCGTTGAATGGCACTGGGAGAGATCCGGGAGCGCGGTGGGTATCCACAAGATCGAGACACTCGTCACACTGATGCTGATGGCCGAGACCAATAACGGAACGCCGCTTCCGAGAAAATCGTCAAGCGTGGAGATGGAGCGATGAATGTAACTCGTGCGCACGTGTCGGCGGCTCGGGGAGGCATTCGTCCAGCAGTGGATCGCGCACGGAGACCGGAGACGACAGCCAAGTCGGGCGGTCACGTGGCCCAGTGGTCACGCACGATCGCCGCTAGTTGCGGTTCGAGCCGGGCGCCCACCCTGGTTAATAGCGCGGGTGTGTGCTACTGCTGCCCGTGCAACACGCGCCCTCTGCTGCACAGCGGACGTACGTGTATGTACGTTGGACTTCTTTCGCACCGTACGTAGCCAACCGTTGCTAATCGACGGCGCGGGACCCCGTGGCGTCATTCGATGAGGCTGCCCGGTAGCAACATTCCCCCCCCCCCCCCGCTGTGAAACTACTGCGGGCTGTGACACGGCGCCTTCGCGACCGCCTGGCGCTGGAAAAATGCCGCGAATACAAAATATGTAACATTTATAATACTGTAAGAAAATATGTTCTTATTACAATGCTGTAATCATGATTAAATATCTGTGGTTATGGATAAGCATTCGTATTGTAACTTTCTGACGCACCCCTACTGGACATTCCTCAAGTATAAATACATAATCTGATTGTGATCTCTGCAAAAGAGCTTCATAGCTCATCGGATTTCTCGAGTTTAAAGATTCTGATGCTGTGGGGACAGCGGCACTCCGGATCCAGCGCGAGTCGGCTCCACTCCGCCTCTTCCGAGCTGCCGGCCGTCAGACGTCGCCAATGCCAGCGACGTGTAAACGCACGCGGAAGTGAACCCCTCCGTCTTGACGATCACTCGAGCGGCCACAACAACATCACAAACAGCGGCAATTAATGCCGGTAACGCGGATATACGTACAACTCGTACTGCTGTCGTCGCGACGGCAATCTTCGGCGAGTAACACCGACAACTTATTACCAAATGTTGTGTTGGGCTTAAATGTAATGCGACCGTGTGCCGCCGCTGCTGCTGCTGACGAATCTGTCGACATTGGCGTCCTAACAGCACAATTATAACCTGCAATATATTATCATCTAATGTTTAATCTGAAAGCGTAGTGGACTTACGCAGCGTCAACACAGATATTTATAAACACAGGATACACATTAAACCACTCGCCGCGGCGTGCACTCGCTGCTGCTCGAGTGATTTCCCCGTGGGGCTAGAGCTGCTGCTGGTGGTGGTACTGGACGTCTGTGAACAAAGCGCTTCATAGCTCATCGGATTCCTCCAGTAGACTTACAGCTTCTGTAAGGATCGACACACTCGAGGTGGTCGTTGTGGGTTCGTGGCTTCGAGGTTGTTTCGCTGCTGGTGAGGGGTGGGGGGGGGGGCGAGGAGCCGGGATGTCTCTGGGGGTGTTTTTCGGCTGCACGTTCATCGCCTTCGGGCCGGCCTTGGCGCTCTTCGTGCTGACCGTGGCCGCCGACCCGGTCCGGGTCATCATCCTCATCGCCGGGTGAGAACGACGCCTCCTCATTACTCATCATCCATCACTCGCACAAAGACCGTGTCGCCTGGAGCACACTGTTGGGGCAAGTGCTGTTCGCGAGCACCTATGGAGGCCGTGGCGATGTTTACACACCGCACCAGGTACTCATTTGAGGCTGAGTCGACCTAGGGGAGGCCCAGGACCGGTTCAATTAATCGTCACCGGTGTTGGCCGTGAGCGGGAATCGAACTCGGGTCGCCGCCGGTTTTGTAGCGCTAACCACTGCGCCACCGCTCCCCCTCACATTTAGACATTCACAGACAAACACCAACGTTATATCATACACACCCGTGCACACATATACACACCCACACATCTATTACTAGGGTTTTGTATGTCCAAGGACGGGTGTATTGCAGTAAATATGAAACTTGCCAGCGAAAAGCAGAGCGCGACGTGATATTAATTGCATCCATTCGTGTGCAATTAGTAAGGGCGCGGTGACACAGAGCTAGTGCATGTGAAGGTTGTAATCCCTTGTTCATCACGACGTCCCTTTTACTTCGATGTCTCAACAGCAGCGTGACGGAGACCACGTGACGACGTGAGGGCGCTGCCTTGTGAGTGAGGGCTGTGAGTGGACGCCGAGGAGGGGGGAGGAGGCGCCTCGCCCCCCCCCCCCCGTGGAGTGACGTCACGTGCTCATGATTATTAATGAAGGGGGGGTCCATGTGGTAACCTGCTCATGAATATTAATGAGGGTGGCTGGTCGATGTGGAGTAACGTCAGGAGCGTTAAGGACGGACATTCCTGGGTGATGATCGTAGGCATGGAGATGATCAATTCCCACTGTTAACAACACGGTCCTGTATTGTATTGCAAGAACTTCCCGTGACACTGCTGACAACAGCCCATTACTATGGGCCAAGAATTACTCGGTCAGGAGTTCCCACACATCCTCAACAGTGGCCGACTTCCCCGAACGGAGTGGCGCCGCTGCCGAGGGGCCAGATTTTGCCAACTTCACCGGAGCCCCAGGCGGCGGGCATCGGAGAGGGAGCGGGGAAGTTGGACCGGGGGAAGAGGGGGAAGAGGGGGAAGAGGGGGGGGCTTTTTGAGTCCCCGCACCACGACCCGTGCCAACCACTGCTGGCACACCCCATCTAACTATTTCAGAGCGGCCAAATCGTTTTTTTCTGCCAAGTTAGATGGATCTAAAATTAAATATACATCAATAATGATAACATTTACCCCCCCCCCCCCAACTCCGGGTGCACCTCTGCCAACCACGCTATGCTACAGCCCAATGCCGCCCTCTAGGATCCCAACAGCCACGGCTTAACACGTGCCACATGGCGTCACCAGTTCATGTAAAACCAAACTATTACTCTAAACTATTCTTTTTATTTGACCAGGTAAGGCCCGCTGAGCTACACAGCTCTTTTTCAGAAGCGACCGGGCCACTAATGATAGCTCAACGAAGTGGCTTGTCATCACGTGGACATTTATAGCAGCCAAATACTCTAACCATGTGTTTTTAAACGTTGTGTGTGTGCTTGTTGGGCACTAGGCTACGTGCACCCAACCTGGCACAAGTGCTGCGATGACGTGAATGTCACTTAGTGGCGAATGCCGGTTGTTGTTGCGTTGTTGTTGTTGTTGTCGTGCCCAGGTCTTTCTTTTGGCTGGTGTCGCTGCTGGTGTCCTCTCTGGTGTGGTTCGTGGTCTCCGTGGTGACAGACCGCACCAATGTTCAGCTGCAGCAGGAGCTGCTCACGCTCGGGGTCTTCCTCTCCGTGTGCCTCCAGGAGCTCTCGCGCTTTGGCTACTACTGCCTGCTCAGGTACCTCCGAACGCAGTGGAGCCGCAACGATTTGTCGATTACAGTTGGTTCATCGACGAGAAACTGCAATCGACTACTATTTGTTTTTGTCTCTTCATCCTGAGAACAACTGACGAGAGGTTGACAAAACTACCCGCAGAGCGGAGACCGATAGAAAGCGCGAGAAGGCAAGAGAAGGAAGCCACTGGAGCGATGCACTTTTAAATAATCTCGATTGAAGACTCATTTCTTTAAAACTGCTTTTTGTGTTTAGTTTGTCGTTCATCCCCTGCACCTCCGATTAGCGCGGTTGGCTACGTACGGTGCGAAAGAAGTTCAACATGTGTACAGATACGGAAGCAGAGGAAGCTGGCAGCAGCAGCAAGATAATACCACAGAGTTCTGAGCTCGCTACTGGACGGGAGAAATGGACTAAAATTAAATAAAGGAGGCCTTTGCGCAGCAGTGGGAAGTTGCAGTTTGACAACAAATTGTCTCGTGGTCGATTACGCAGCTCCCCTTTAAATCACGGCAACTGCCTCCACGTTTTGCCTCCTGAAGACAAGAAACCCCCTACGAGCCACGTCCAGCGTGACGCGGCCGATGATGTCGCTAAGCCACGTCCATCACCTCCCGTCCAGCGGCACACGTTTGAAACAGAGGCGACATCATTTCCCTCCAACTGTTCCCGTGTTATACGATTAGTCGGACAGTCGAACTGATAATCGGTATAGTAATCGATGTATTAAGTAATCTGATTGCAGCCCAGCTGTGTTGTACAGTGAGTCCTCAAAATAAGGTGGGCCGGTATACCGTGGACGTGCCACGTATAACGGGATGTTGTGAGGAATGCTTAACAGTTAAAAACACACATTTTTGGAAACAAATTGAAAATAACTCTCCTGAAGCATGAAGAGCAAAGAAAGCTGTGACTGTTTAAGAATATGTATATATTTACATCCAACTAGTGACTGTTTAAACGCGCTTGTGTATTTCTACCAGCCGTGCCGAGCGAGGATTGGCGTCGATTAGCATGGATGGGCAGCCTCCTATCACCACCCACCAGATGGCCTACGGTACGTGACATCATGCTGCATTCCATGCAATGGTCATGATGGTGTTGACGAGGACAGCACTACAGAAGTTTGTGGTCGATCATCATCATCATCCACAATGATCATCATTGTCCTCTCAAAGCTGTCACCATGTCTGACGATCCTGCGATGTAACAATCCACCCATGGCACCTGCACACGAGCCGATTTCATTGCTCCATTTTAGCAGTGGAAGATCCAAGGTGTGTACCGTCGCCTCCGTGGCTGCCGCTCTGTCGTTAGTCTCACCAGCCACCATCGCTTCCAGCGAGTCAATGGAGAGGAGCAGAGGGAGATGACAGGAGCAAGGTGGGAATGTGGGGGGGAGTAGAGTGAGATGACGGGTGAGGCAGGAAAGGCGTGGATGGGAGTAAAGGGAGATGAGAGGGCAGAGTTATAGGAGTGTGTGGAGGGGAGTAGACTGAGATGAGGGGGAGAGGCAGGAGGGGAGTAGACTGAGATGAAAGAGGACAGCAATAAGAGTGAGTGGAGGGGAGTAGACTGAGATTAGAGGGGAGAGGCAGGAGGGGAGTAGAGGGAGATGAAAGAGGACAGTTATAAGAGTGTGTGGAGGGGAGTAGACTGAGATTAGAGGGGAGAGGCAGGAGGGGAGTAGAGGGAGATGAAAGGACAGTTATAAGAGTGTGTGGAGGGGAGTAGACTGAGATTAGAGGGGAGAGGCAGGAGGGGAGTAGAGGGAGATGAAAGGACAGTTATAAGAGTGTGTGGAGGGGAGTAGACTGAGATTAGAGGGGAGAGGCAGGAGGGGAGTAGAGGGAGGCGAGAGGTAGGTAGGGGCTAGTCCATGGACGATCTTAAGGTCGTTGAGCACGATCTTGAACTTGACCCGGGTTTGCAATGGGAGCCGTAACGCTGAGTGTACCGTCGCTTGTGCCCTGTCCGCCTCTGAACCGCCCCTATTCTCCCCACTCCGACTGGGCCTGGTTGACACCTGTGGGGGCTCCCTCACAGCCGCTGGGCTGGGCTATGGCCTCGTGAGCGGGGCCTTCTCGGTGGTGAACACGCTGGCGCAGGCCGCGGGGCCCGGCACGGTCGGCATCCACGGTGACTCGCAGTACTACTTCCTGTCGTCCGGTGAGTCGTGGCAAGCGGTTTACAATTTTTTTCTCGTTCCATTTTTTGGCCCGTCTATATATATATTTTCGAATCGTGGCACTGCCACCATCGTTTTGTCATGGTGAAGAAATTGGGTTGTTCAATGGCGCAGTGGTGAGCACACCGCTCTATTAACCTGTCCATCTGCGTTCAATTCCGAGCCCATGGCTAACGTCAGCAATTGATAACCAGTGATGTCGAAACTGGTCCTGTGCCCTTCTCCCCCGCCCCCTCTGAACTTTCCTTCTTCAACCTGCACTGACCAGCATGGTGAAGTATAGTCGAAGAACCCCCATGACCGATATGGTGTGGTAAGGCCTTCAAGCAGAAGTGGGTTGTTGACACTGGGCTGTACATGTACACGTGTTGTGACAGATTCACGACTTTGTAAATAATGTAAATACAAGGTAAGAAATTTTCAATTGTGACCATGAAAGGGGAGGGTGGCTAATCATTTCACCTCTACTTAGTTGGTAGTACACAAGAGAAGACATCCATTATTAGCGAGCAGAGAGCTTCCCTAACTGCCTACTTTTATAGACTTTGACCAGAACGTAATAATTAATAATAATTTAATATATTTGGCATTTGCGCCATTCTTATAGCACAGGGTTGCCACGAAGGTACTCCGTGTCGCAGACCACTAGTCTGGTCGGCCGGTTGGGAGCGATCTTGCCGTGCGTCATCCCAATGGAAGTAATGTACGTGTCATCTTTTATCAAACTTGGCAAAATTTGAACCGCGACGCCGGCACACGATGGCCTGCTCTTTTTGAACGACGTCAGCAGGATCATCTGCACATGTTGGCGACGATTGACTTGCGTGTGCACGTCGCTAAATGGACAACCCCTCGTGTCCTCCTCCTGTCCATCTTACTACGACGACTATCTTTATTTGGAAAGGCCCACTCAGCTATGTAGCTCTTTTACAGAAGCAACCTGGCCATAAATGATCGCTCAATGAACGGCTTATCACGTGGAAATTTACAGCAGCCGAATACTCTAAACGCACGTTCAGTCTAAATGTGGAGGGAAAAACCGGAGGACCCGGAGAAAAATCCACGTGACCACGGGGAGAACACGTAAACTCCAAGTATTGAGGCGTCAGGGTAGGGATGACCTCCTGTATATCCAGTTGCGAGATGTTAACTACCGCACTTGTGTTCATCTCCCCCCCCACCCTCCCCCCACCAGCCTTCATGACTATGGCGCTGGTGCTGCTCCACACCTTCTGGGGACTTATCTTCTTCCACGGCTGCGAGAAGCGGCGCTGGGTGGCGGTGTCGCTTGTCGTGGGCTCTCACTTCCTCGTCTCTGGGCTGGTGGGTCACGCCGGCCGGGCCGGCACGGAACTTGCCGAGAATTCTGGACGGTGACGTGGCCTGGCGGGACGTACCGCGCTCGCTGCTTGTTGCGGACGGTTCGGGGTTCTAATCCTGGGGGCCGCTCCTGGTGAATTCCTGCGGTGTGCTGTTAACCGTGAAGATAATACGACTGCTACGTGCCGTCTGCTTTCACAGTGGACGTTAAGATCCCGTGACATCATCTGAAAAGAGTAGGGCCATCGTGCGCCAGTGTCATGGTCCAGATTTGAAAAACGAGCTGCAAATGAGTCAACTGGGATTGCACACAGCAACATCGCTCCCTGCTATGAAACTACCCCAGACTGCGTGAAACAACGCCTTGCACCATAAGGATGGCACCAATACCATACGTACTCAATAATTATAATCATAACAGAATAACAATTTCCATTTAGCTGAGCAGCTCAAAGTGGCAAACATCTCACTTCAAGAATTCCATTGACTTGCAATAGTCTATCATTAACATTTAATAAACATACCCACGCCTCCTCTGCAGTGCAGTATTTAGGTGCCCTGCAGCAGGGGACCCCCCACTGGCACTGGCAGCCATCCCTGTGAGGCACAAAGTGAATGTTGCACTGGCCAGCCATGTGGGCATAGTCTGCCAGTTGAGGGCAATGTTGTTGCAAGGTGGTTGTCCCAGTTTGTGCTATTGGTGTTGCTGAGTGCTGACTTATCTTGTCATGTTATATTAATACATTGTCGTTGTCATCACCATTGTTATCATCATTATCATCATCATTATCATCTTATCATGCTCTCAGCTTTTGATTCCACAATGTTTGATCCACCCCTTTCCGTGGATCAAGTTAGCAACTTGCTCCTCACCGTCCGCACTGCCCCACAGACCCTGCTGAGCCCGCTGATGACGTGCGGCCTGCCCGTGGCCTACACCGTCCTGCTGGTCATGGCCGTGTGGGCGTTCTACGCGAGCGGAGGGTCCCTCCACAGCCTCAAGCGTTGTCTCACCTGTAAGACGTAGCCCTTCCCTCGCTCACGGCCCGCCTCTGGCGCTGTGACGCGGCCCCAGCGCTAGAGCGTGGGTCGCTTTGTTGCAGTGGTTCGCCGTCGAACCCAGCAGGCCGCCCTGGATATTGCCGCCGACGCATTAATCCGTAAGATGCGCGTTGTTTGTTTCACGGTGGAGCTTAAAAGATTCCGTGAAATCTTTTGTAAGGAGAAGGCCAGTATGTGCCGGCGTCATGGTCCACATTTTTACAAATTATAAAAAACTAGCGGGAAGTACCCGGCGTTGCCCGGGCGAAAAAGACAGACACACGCATCGACTTGCACACTTACAGACATTGACCCACACACACAAACACATAGACTTACACACACACACACGCACATATGGACTCACACACACAGACATCGACTTTAGATACACACACATGGAGCTACACACACATATCGACGTACACACACTCACACACACATACATAGACTCACACACACACAATGCCCTACACACACACATATGGACTCCAAATTATAAAAAATAACCGGCAAATGACTCGATTGGGATTACACGTTGCAAGCAACATCACCCCCTACTGGGAAACTACTAAAAACTGTGACACACGGTGCAAATATCAAATTTACTCAAGTTTTATTGTTATTAATGTGCGTACAGCCCTTTGTCAAGCCCGTTGGATGTAGTAGACGCACGAGAATGCACACGTGTACACAAAGACACTCGCACACACAAACACACGGACACAACACGTACAGCCTCCACAGTGTAATGGCTTTGAGAGGTATTCATCCAGCTGTGGATTGACACAGGGTTGGGTATGATTGTTAATATACTGTATGTGTAAAAGTGTACAAATTAGGTTGACTAGCTGATATTAGAATTACTAGCAAACATGTGAACAACAGTGCTCAAAGTAAACGAGTTTGTATATGTGTAGGTTATTTTACGTGTATGTGTGTTATTAGCTTGTGTGTGCACATGAGCATGTGTTATTTTAGGTGTCTGTATGCATCTGTGTGTGTTTCTGTTGGGCTATACAGGGGATCTTTATCTTTGTATGTGTATGGTGAGCAGTGGTTAGCACGCTCTGCTATAAACCCACAATGCGAGTTTGATTCCTGGTCACAGCCAACATTGGTGACGAATATCTCAACAGGTCTTGGGCCTCCCCTAGATAGACTCGCCCTTAAATGAGTACCTTGTGCAGTGTGTAAATATCGTCACTGGGGAGACAAATGTGGTTGGTTGTGGTTCTGGCCACATACCCCCTTGTGTACCATGCCAGCCTTCATATGTGCTACTCGCTAAGAGCATCCCCCACCAGTCTGTAAGGCTATAGTGAGGGGGGGGGGGCAGCTTCGTGTGTCTTTGTGTGCTCACGAACCTTCATCTCTGGATCAAGCAGTGGAGCGTCACTCACAAGCATGGGCGCAATCTTCCCTGCGCCAGCGTTTCATTCAAATTCGGTCTGTGTTGCACGTGTGCGTCTGTGTTGCGTGTGTTGCGCGCATGCATCCATGTTGCACGTATGCATCTGTGTTGTGCGTGTGTGTCTATTTCCAGGCAAGCAGCAGTGGGAGCGGGTGCCCTTGCTGTATGGCGACCCGCAGGACGACAGGGTCGACTAGCAGCGGCGCTGCTGCTGCTGCTGCGGCGTCTCCGTCGAGGGAACCCGTACCGGGAAATTCCTTTTTGGAGCGCTTTGTACCACAATGCACCTGCATATTCATGCGTGGGTGTGTGTGGATGTGTGTAATTCTCAGACTAATGCCCATTTGTAGGCCGGTGCCATGCACACCTTGTGCCGCACAGGGACAGCTGCCAATGGGGGGGCCCATACTGCAAAAGGGCATTGGACTGGTCGGAATGAGATGCGTGATTGCTAAGGCCCTTACAGATTCTATCTTGGCTGTACGTGCAAATGCTCTGTGGGAAGTCAATAGTAGCTGTTCAAAGATAACCACTCTGAAAATATCTTGTTGGAACACAAACGCACTTTGACTTTTATGATAGCTGCTTTGAAGTGAGATTCAGCTCCAGTAAAATTATGCTAATTCTGTGGTAGAGTCTGCGCCGACATTTCTGAGATATCATGAGTCTGAATCCAGGAGTCTACCACCATGGGATTAGCTGAAGTTATCAAGTGTAGATAATTGATGGGCTAATCCCGATTACCATTGGCTTGCTAAAAATATGACGTGTTGAATAGTTTTTCACTTAAATTGTCATATTCCAACCCTGAAAATGTAAAGTATTGGTTTACTTGTCATGCCAGGAACACTTTTTGCAGGTCATATAAAAGGTGTGCTTGTCATGATTAATGAGTCTCGAAGTGCTTTCAGAAGTACATTTTGTACATCATCTTCTGGGACTGTTCTCTGACACTGTCTGGTGCACTGCTCGCTGAAAACCGTCCGAATGTGAATGTCTTCTTCCTGTGACATGACACTAAAACATAATTGGGTAACCAAAGGCAGAATAGAACAGCACAACTCCAAAGCTCTCTCTCCATAGGCGAGTGGGAAGGTGGCTCTTACTTTGTGTCCTCACCCTGTCAGGCTTGGGCCCATGAGACTGAGCTCAAGGTCAGGAGCCCCATGGTGACATGTGATCTGCCCACCTGAGCACTATCCAGGCTCGCCCCTACTTGGCTTTCTGCAATCTGACTAGATTAGCCGCATTCCGAGTGATTTTGATCACAGGCGCAGGTTATGTTCGGCTATTTACAATTAAGTATCTTACCGTTTTTACCAGGTATTTGTATGTATGTTGAACTTATTTCACACCGTACGGAGTCAACCGTGCTCATCTCATTTCCAGGTGGATTTTTAACACAAACACCGCCGCCTGAAATTTAAACTTGGCAAGTGACGTCACGGCACACATTTGATTTCTGTCTTCGCCAACGTTGCGCACAACAGAGTGGAGGCGTGTGTAGGGGACACGGTGACACCGAGTTGAACTGACTGAGGTCACACGCGACGAACGCGTCAGTAGCACCACCCCTGACCGTACGTGGCTCCGAGCCGGATCCAGATGTCTTGCGAGTCCAGCGTATCGTGGTTTGGTTCCGGCAAATAAGAGGAAAGCCAACTGGACCGTTAGGACCCCTGCGCTGGCTTGATTCGGCTCGGATGTACCGGTGGGAAAGGGGTTGAAGGCGGCCACGAGTTGAATTGCCGCTCGGTAAGTAAAGAAAACCACTCTGGGTGCAAGTCCCAAAGCACAGGCGGAATGTTTTGCATTACGGGACCACAGTGCCTATGTACTTGTTGCAACAGTTCAGTTGCGCCAGAAACAACGTGTGTTCTTGTCATGGCCGTGAGGGTACGCATGGCAGATGGATCGGTGCCAGCACGACGATGGCATTCAAATGAAGTGCGCGGAGCTCTTGAACGATTGTTTTAAACGAGACGATGACCACGATGATCATGATGATGTGCGGTATAGTGGGTGTCGGGTTGGTATATTTTTTGAGCAAACCTTTTTAAGAAACGTGCGGCAGTGTTTTGAGTTATAGAGACGCGGTCGTGGATTTAATGTCCTGTTAAAACCAGAACACTGAAGACGTGACTTTTGTAGAAGAGATGTTTTTTTATGGGACAAAGTTTGGACGAATGTTTGCCTTTTCTGCTACAAGTTCAAGTTGATTTTACCTAACCGAGTGAGAACTTTAAAGAGACCAGAATAGTCTCATGTGCAAGAGTGACCTGGGGCATGTCTAGCAGTAGGGGTGATGATTGTTACGTATAATCCAGATTGAGTAATTTGTGGTGTCATTTTTGAACTTTTTTTTAACGCGAGGCGGACGGCACATAGTATTATATTACAACTTCTGTGATTGGGGGGTGTTCTAGTACATTGTAGTGCAATTGTGCATATTCATACAATTTGTGAAGAAGACCAAATGACTTAGAATATATGGTTTTCCACAAACTGAAATATAGGGTGATTTGTTGAATTGGTAGTAATTCCATACTTTTGTGTGTAAAAGTGGTGTATATAATGCACTAGGCATTGCATTTGGCCATGGCAATGCAATGGATTACAGGTATACACTAACACAAGTGATTTGTTATTGATTTATTAACCAAAGTATAATTGAATTACAGTATCATTTAATTATAAGACAACGGGGTGATGTTTCATTGCCATATTTTTGTTGTATACAGGACGCATACACAAGATGTGTTGGTAAATAAACTGATGGCTCACTTGATGTGTTCCGTGGCACTTCTTACATCTGTCTATTGCAATATTTTATCCAGTAAAATAAATTTGTATTTTCCCCGTTCACTACAGCAGACAATGCACGTTATGTTTGAATACCAACTAACACAACTCTCCTTGCGTGTTATTTGGCGATGCTGCTGCGTTGTCAGTGGTACACACAAGCACAGCAACAACAATTACTCAGCACACTCGTCAGTATAATAACACGGTGGTGGCGGTGGTGGTCTTTCAATAAACATGTAATCGGCGACGTTTCCGGCAATGCTTTCGGGCAATCGCCCTTCGCTGCCTCTCCGTGTGCTGGGGGGTTTGGGGGGCAGAACAGGGATGTCTACACTTGTGGCACTGAGTCTGGGGGCTGGATTCACATCTAGTCGAAGAGACATCGGTGACAACACATTGTATCCAGTAGACTGTTGATGTACGAGGTGGCGAGAAGTTCTCTCTCTCGCCTGGTGTACAGGAGGAGGTCGCGGGCTCGATCCCGACCCCGACGCTCTGCTGTTCGGAGTTTGCGTGTCGCTCTCCGTGGTCCTTTGCAGTTTTCCCCTCCACATTTTTTCACGCGCGTTTCGAGAATTTGGCTGCAACAAATGTCCACGTGACCAGCGTGTTCTGTTCCAATTGGCACGTTCTGTTAATGTAACAAACCTTACTCATGGGCTGTGGCGGCTGGTGGCGTGTTTAACGACATTTATATTTCCACGCGATCGAACCCAAACAAAACAACTTAGATTTTGAACACCAGAGGAGGCAGAAACCTGGATTCGATCCCAGCTTATCGAGCCAGAGGACACTTTAGCCAGCTCAGTGTCTCTACCGCATGGCCTCTGAGCATCAAACTCGGCATGCTCGTCAACAGCACTGCCTTGACAGCACCAGCTGTGCACCAGCTGTGCACCAGCTTCACCAGCTTCACCAGCCGGCTTCGCCCGAGACTTGGATTCTTGTCTTGGATTAATACACGGCCGACGTGGAGGGTGTGGGGGATGCGTGACGTCACAAGGCACACTGCGTGACGTCAGCAGGCACACTACGTGACGCTCCCGCATGCGGGTGACATCACAGGTGTGACGTCAAAATACATGTATATCCATTCTTTGTTTTTTTACACTTAAGCGGTTCTGCTTTCGCTACGTTGTCCCAACCTGAAGGACGCTTGTGTTGCGCCCTAAACGTCGTGATTTAATTTAGTTGTTTTCATTTATTTCATTAGTTTTTTTTACCTACGTGACTTTACCGAAAAAGAAACAAAGAGTATGAATCCTTGCAGTCACGAAAGCTTCAAATCTAGAATATATCCATTATTGCGCCCCCCCCCCCCCCCCAAATACAAAAGTCGATTTTTATACGTTTTACATTGTGTACAGTCTGGAAGCTACCCATATGCAAAATTTCAAGTTTGTTGCATGTCGGGAAGTATGCTAAACATTTCGAATAGACACACATTCACAAATTTCCCTTTTATATATATACTGTCATCGTCGACGTATCGGGCAATGTCCCTTCTTGAGGACACGTGCTATTTGTTTTTAAGTCAAGGCGGTGTGTGAGCTGTTGTTAATTGTGCCTGTGCACCACTGCGAACCCACACGCAGCATCACGCGATCACCAACCACTGAATGGTCTTCGCATCAAGTCGACGCATTATAAAATCGCGTTTCCCCTCCACAATTCACGCTTTGTCCTCAGCGCGGCCCCGTACTTCCGCACCACCCCCCACCACGCCCCACGTGTTCCCTGCGACTCCACGTGGGTGTCATGGCAGCGCGCGTGAGCGCGGGTCTCCGCAGGGCCCGGCTCGTGCTGAGTCGCTGCACCGCCTCGCCGGAGCTCTTCCTGGGGTAGCCGCAACCCCCTCTACCTCGCCCGCCCTTCCTGCCTTCCTGCCTTCCTTGGCCTCATTCCGCTCGCTCGCTCGTCGGTTGGTTCGTGGCCGCGAGCGCTCAGCGCGCTGGGGCTGTTGACTCGTGCGTTCGCGGGGCCTCGCTCAGACACGGCTCCCTGGTTCGCGCTTAGATCGACTCGGCCTTAAATGATTAGTAACCGATTGCCGGTGTATGTGGACGTCAGCGTTGGGGAGACAAAGATTGCCGGGCCTTTTGGTCGCACCACTCTGCTTTGTGAAGGCTCACACCAACTCGCATGTGAAGGCCTTGGCTTAAATGTGTGTTCGGTCAGAGCACTTGCCCCGACAGTCTGTGTAGGCTATACGGGGGATATTTGTGTTCTCGTCTTTGTGGCGTGGAGAGAAATTGTTCTTGCACATTGCGCCACGAACGCGGGACCCAAGTTCGATTCCTGGCCACGGCGAACATCATTGGCGAGCGGTATTAAGACCAGTTGCTGGGCCCCTATAGGTGGACTAAGTCCTGGGCACCTGGGGTGGCGTTTAAACTAAAAACCCATCGGCACCGGGAAGGCAAAAGCGGTCGGGCGCGGTTCTCGCCACACCACGGCCTTTGTGCGCCGTGCGGCCTTCATAGGTGCTCGCCGTAACAGCACGTTACCAGCACGTGCCTCGCCCCAACAGCCTGCTCAAGGCTGACTGCCAGTCCTCTGTCAGTCACGCCATAACGTCTGGGTTTGTCCCGTGACCTGCCAGCAGCGAACCTTCGACACTTGTTGTGGCCTCGCCTCGCCTAGGTCGGCACAAGCGTCGTGGGGGACATCGCCGCCACTGAGCGAGTGGCTGCTCCGCGGTTGTGTTGTTTACGGTGTCTGGGTGTGGACGGGCAGGGTGCAGGATGGGCTGGCGGACGAGCTACGCTCTGTCACCAAGGAGCTCTACGATCTTCACAAGGGGCACGAACTCCCCGGCTGGGCCGGGAGTCCCCTCGCCGACCTCGTCATCGACAACTTTGACGACGAGCAGATCTGGCAGGAGCTGGAGCTGCAGAACGAGGCGGCGCTCGCTCAGCTGAGACACCAAGTGACGCAGGTCCTGAGCAACGAGGACATCGTCATTTTGCCCCAAGATGACGAAGGTGCGTTTACTTAATGCGTCCGATTTGAAGTGCATGAGAACGTATTTCGGGTTGGATCGCGTAAATGTGCGTAAATGACACAGAGCTGGATTCACAAAAGGCTGTTGAAAGCCATTCGCTGTTAACGGTCGTGTTTGTAATTGTGTTGCTAACGTTGAACGCGAACGTTGAAACTGACTTGCAGGGACCGAGTCTGAAGGAGATGATCCGGACCGTGATGACGACGACGATGACAGTGATATTGACGACGACGATGACGACGTTGGCAGCGACTTGAATGACAAACCGGCAAGCAGTGGGGCCAAAAAGAAACGAACCTCTGGAGCTGGTGGCGACACGGACAGTGAATCCTCCACGGAGCTAATCCCAGAAAGGGGTAAGAAGCGTGTGTGGGGTAAGACGCAGAATAAAAAACCCGATAAGAGGTCCCGCGACGAGGATGATCAAGACGATGCCACCGACTCCGACGTGGACTTTGACATCGATGAACTGGAGGCGAAGAGTAAGCGGAAAGTCGCGAAGGACGCTGGGAAGGTGTCTGGAGATTTGGACGTTGAAGACGAATTCTTGAAGATCGACCAGATGGAAGCGTTTCTAGAAGCGGAGGAAAAGCGTGATGAGAGACGGAGGCTACGCGACGAGGGGAAGGCACGGAACGACTCTGATGATGATGAAGAAGTTGACCTCTTCGTCGATCAGCTGTCCGATGACGACGACGATGATGATGACAGCGATGATGAAAAAAGCAAAACAAAAACTAAAAAGGTAAATTACATCTTGGACTTGTTTACCTCAGTACAGTCGTTGAAAGTCAGTGGTTTGCTGTTTTTGCACGTAGTCACGGCGCTTTGCGCACTGCACTTTCAATCTGGCGTCCCGAGTTCGATTCCTGTGTCACAGCTACCATCAGTGGCTGGTGATATCTGAACTGGGCCCGGTTCACCCCCTTAACCAACCTGCACTGACCAGCGTGTCAAGTATGGAAAAATAAAATCCCGTTTACAACTTCTGTTAATCAACACGGCATGGGAAGACCTTCACGAAATTAATAAGTGGAAATGTATAGTGGCCAAATAGTCTTAAACACATGTTTCTAAATGTGGAGGGAAAAACTGAAAGACCCGGGAAAAAATCCATGCGACCACCACGGGGAGAGCATGCAAATCCCAAATATAGAGCAGGCGTTGCGGTCGGGATCGAACTGGCGACCTCCTGTACACCAGGCGAGGCAATTAACACGGCGTCACCGTGGCGCCCCTTATTGCGGTGAGCAACTGCGTTGTTTTACGAGGCCCACTCTCCGGCAGACCCGACAGTGCGAGCCGCACTGCTCCTGAGGCTATCATCACGTGGCTCGCATGGATGTGTAAATGACACAAACCTGCCATGTGCTAGAAGAATGAGAATTGTATGTAAAGGTGCATTTAAAAAAAAACTAATTTTATAACTAAAAAATACTTTCTGACAGAGATGAACAGTTATTTTGCTGTGCCTTTTTACACCTGATGAAGGAAGCTTGTGTTGCCTCCGAAACGTCGTGATTTATTATTTTATTTCTATTATTTAAAATTTTAATTTTTTACCTACGTGACTTTACCGAAAAAAAAACCTAAGAGTATGAATCCTTGCAGTCACGAAAGCTTCAAATCTGGAATGAACAGTGAACTAACCGTGTGCAGTGGCTGCTTGTGAAATATTTGCCGACAATTTTTGTAACGTTTTTGTAATTTTTATGTGTGCTCAACTGCAGGCCAAGAAAAGCAGCAGGGACTTAAAGTACAAGGATTATTTCACCGCAGACGGTGCCAAAGGGATAGACCCAAAGGTGGTGAAGGGGAAAAAGGTGACGTTTGAAGACGAGGAGGATGAGGACTCCGAAAATATGTAAGTGCGCTCCCGAGTTTAGAGTTGCAAAGCCAACTTACGATCATCATATCTGTCTTATCAGCTCAGGCCTCCCGTCAATCACGTGGCTTCCGTGTGGCTTCCACCACCCACCCTGAATCCCTCCCCGCTGTAAACACAGATGCTGCTCCGTGCAAGTCGCTTCTGCTCTCTCCTTCGCTCTCTTTCTCTTCCCTCCCCTCTCATCCTTGACATCTTGGCCTGGTCATTCCTGGAAACCAGGTCTCCATGGAAAATGTGTTTTTTTTTGCCTCGTGGGTTTTACCTGTGTGCACTTCAGATAAAAAAATGTAGCAGAAATAAAACTTGCGGAGACTTCTCTCTTCTGGGGGCAGTACGTTTATTGTAACGTAGCAGCAACACAAAGGGCTACGGCCCCTTCCACCCGATACTTAGGGAGATATCCCTCCGGCTAGCCTGCCTAACACTGGCTATGCTCTAGCCTCTTCACTGGTGAAGCTTTTGGCCCGACCCTAGCCAGGGGTCCGGTTCAGCCCTTTGGGCTCTTCGCTTCGGGTCTTCAGGGTGGCAGCTCCAGAGTGGCTCTTGAGTCTTCAGGTAGAACGACGACTGCCGGACCCGTTCAGGGGACCGTCTTTTATACCGGATTCTGGCTCACTCCACTCCCGGCCACTCCTCCCTTCTGGAACCGTCTGGAATGTGCCTGGGGAGTGACGTTCTCCCCCAGCCGCCTTCCTGGGGGTCTGGGGGTTTGTCCCTGTGGTCCCGAGCTGCCTTAGGGTTACCTTGGCCCAACGGCCTGACTCATCACCCTGAGACTCCCCTCTGCTCCCTGTTGACTCGAGGACGTTATTACAGACTACAGGTAGTAGCAATCGCGTACAGCGCTCAACGGCTACACCTGTGCCAAAATAAAACCTCTCAATCCTACACCAATTCTCCCCCCCCCTCTTCCCCCCGTGCTCCTTCCTGCTGCTCGTCTTGAGCCGCGTCTTCTTTGTCCGTCTTGGGAACTTCCGTCCCAGTATCCCTTCCCGTTCCTTTTTATTTGTCCATTCTTTGTTCTTGACTCTGCTCCCCCGACCGTGGTGTGCCACGGGCACGAGGTTTTATTTTAAACAGTATCAAGTATCATGGCAGCTTTGGTAAATGCCATCTCTAATTGCCTCCTATAGAAATGTTATTCATTAGCTGTGCGGTGGTGGCGCATGCCTGTAATCCAGCATTGGAGGTGAGGGTCTGTGGATCGCACACACGTTGTGAAACTCCCTTCTTGTGGGCATTGAGCTTGCCAGAAGTCAGTACTGTGCAGGAAGGCCATTGCACAAACTTAGCCTATTATTTCTTCTTCTCTTAAGGCCACTTATTGACGAATGTGTTGAGTTTGTTGTGAACTGCGCGTGAGAAATGTTGATCGCAGTGATCCTGGCTCGCACCTCCGATTAGCACAGTTGGTTACATACGGCGCGAGTCAAGTGCAAGGTGCGTACGTCCGCGGTTAACGCCGGCGAGACGCCTCCGCGCTGAGTCACTGCCATGCGTCCGCATCGCCGCGCAGGGAGTACGACCTGGAGGACGTGGAGGAGGGCGGCGAGGGGCCGCAGGCGAAGCAGGCGAAGCAGGCGCTTCGCTCGCAAGTCCTCTCCGACGACAGCGAGGGGGAAGACGTGGAGGACATCTTCGGAGGGAAGAAGAACGCGGAGGGAGCAGAGGGAAGCCGCTCGAGCTTTGAGAAGCGCGAGGACAAGGTGACGTGCCGGAGTGGCGCGCGCCGCTGCTGCGTTTTTGGGTCTGTGCCGTGGTGTCGTGTTGTGCCACCCCGCTGTGCAGCAAGACCACAAACACGTAAACGGAATTGTTACAGTTTAGACTTGTCGTCTGGGTATGCGTGCTGGTGTCTTTGGGCAGCGGTGGCGCAGTGGTTAGCGCTACAAACCCGGCGGCGACCCGAGTTAGATTCCCGCTCACGGCCAACACCGGTGACTATCTGAACTGGACCTCCTCTTTGTCGACTCGGCCTCACATGAGTAGTAGGGAGACAAAGGTGGCCGGGCGTGGTGCTGGTCACCCACCCTTGTGAGCTGTGCCAGTCTTCATGGGTCCTCTCTAATAACACTTGCCAAAATGTTAAGGCTATAAGGGGGATCTTTGTTTGGATGTCGATTAAAATGGATTATTATGCTAACAGTGCACGCATCGAATCAAGCGTGCGATATTCTCTTGTTTATAGGTTAGATGCAGAAGGCTGTGAATGTTGTTACATTTAAGCTCAAGAAGTGAAGGGGAAGTCAGGGGTAGTAAAGATCACTGTTGTCTCATTCAACACGATTCGTAATTTTTGTTTTGGGTCGGGCTACATTCCGACTCTCCACCACCCGACACAGCCACGCAGATTAAACTGTCGTGTGTGCACACGACATTGTTTCTCACAACCAATTTAGCAATTCGCACTTCCTCAATATGGTTTTTAGAATTCTTTTTCAATTTACTGGCGAGCCGAAACGATAATATTTGGCGTGGTGTTCAATGCGTGTACACGTGACGGTTTGTTTTGCTGCGTCGCGTGGTGGAGGGCCTTAGGACATACCTTGGCCAGATCGTATACGTGGCCTTTAAATTTGTTTTATTATGAATCGTCAACTATTGTCCGTTAAAGGGCATCCCCCGGGCGATCGTTGCCTTTGCCTCTGTGCGTCTGCGTCCTGCAGCTCAAGAAGAGGATCAAGCAGCTGGAGGAGGCGGCCCTCTCAGAGAAACCGTGGCAGCTGATGGGGGAGGTGACGGCGCAGAAGCGACCGGAGAACAGCCTCCTGGAGGAGGGACTCATATTTGACCACGCCATCCGCATGGGTGCGTTGCGGTGTCTCGCTTGCTAGCAGATCCAGGGGGGTTTGATGATGGCGTTCGTAGTGGCCCTGTTTAAAGAGGTTGACGTTTTGCCCCCCCCGCTCCCCCACCCCCTGCTGTGTTGCTGTTGATGCTTCTGTGGCTGTGGTTCTTTTCAGTGTTTTTTGTCGTTTTCCTCAATCTCATTCCATTGCGCTATCGGCGTCGCGTCACGAGACTAAGAGAACGGCCCGCAGAAGTGGATACCGCAGAGCTACCTCTGACGTCAAGTCGATGTTTTTAATTGTCACATTTGGATTTTAACCAAAATTGTGTTTATTATTTAGATTATGGTTTACTCAGAAAAGCATTAATGAGCCTCATGGCTCTTTTTCAGGTGGGTCCTGTAATGTGTTCACAGTCCGGGGCGATGAATTCTATGCATAATCCAATAAAGTAATTTGCTCGTCGTTTTTAAAAAATGTGGAACATGATGCCAGCACACGATGGGCCCACTCTTGCCTCTGACGTCGCGGGATCTTTAACGCCCGCCGTGAAGCCGACGGCTTGTCGTAGTTCTACGGTTAACAACACGCCACGGTACCGATCGGGGCGGCCGCTGGATTCTAATCGTGAACGTCTGTCACAAGCGGCGCCCGGGGCCATGCCACTGCCCACTCGTGGAAGACAACAACAACAACCCCCTTGCCTCTCCCTCCCTCCCTCTGTCTGCAGCCCCGGTCATTACGGAGGAGACCACCATGAAGCTTGAGGACCTCATTAAGCAGCGGATAAAGGATCAGGTGAGCCGTGTGCCGTCATCTTCCGACACTCGCGACACCCGAGTCACCCAGTTCAATCACAAGCTGGTGTAAATACGTTGATGGGTTTGTATGCGAGTCTATGGGCTGTCTACGTGAAGATCTAATGTGGAAGCTTATGGATGTGCATGTGAATAGGGTTGCCGCATGTCAGGGGTGGACCCGGAAAGTCCGGGAATTGGCATCTGTGTTTGGGTGGGCGGGATTGATTTATTCCAGAGATGTGGTACCGGTTTTATTGCAGCAGTGTCCTGCACAATTTCGATGATAGACCTAGGCTGACTGAGAAATATATCCGTGTTTGGTCGACAGTGGAAAAGGTGGCAATTGTAGTGGTTGAGCGTGGTTGGCATGGGCCCCGATGCACCTCCCCGTCTTTGTAGCCCTGGCATCATTGAGCTCTGTGTGTCGATGGGTCTCTGTGCAACTCATTGGTGCTCTGGCTGAACACAATGTCTATCAGCACATTGTATTCCGCGGAGGGCGGTGTCGATGCCCGGATCCCACGGTCTCCCTTCTAGCACTTGTAGCGTTGTCACTGTTCACGTGGACCTCAATCCTTTACCCAGCAGACACTGGCGGTTTCGGCTCCTCCACACTGTGTTGAACCATCACAGCAACACACACCCACTCCCCCAACTCACTCCCCCACTCATCCACTCGTACTGCTACTCACCCATTCACTCCTCCACTCACCGCACTACAGGTCACCTCCCTTCTCTTTTCCTTCTTCCCTTGCACTGCACCACTTGGGAATTCCGTCCCCCCGTATCTTCCCCCCCCAAGCTCTTATCATAATAACCTTGCTCAATTCAAGCAGGGTGTCACGCTCTCACCTGCTACGACTTCGATAATAGCGACGGTTGCCGCTGGCCGATAGACATTTGGGCCTTCGGACCTCTGCTTGGCAAACTCTGTAAAGAAATGCAAACGGATCTCGGCGGTGGCGGCCCGGCTCGCTGACCTGGCCGCACGCGGTCACTCGCCCTCCGCCGGTTCTCTGCAGGCGTGGGACGACGTGGAGCGCAAGCACAAGTCCAAGGAGGAGGCGTTTGAGTACAAGAAGCGCGTGGTGCTGGACCAGGAGAAGAGCAAGCTCAGCCTGGCCGAGGTCTACGAGCAAGAGTACCTCAAGCAGGTGCAGGTACGGAGACGCGGAGAACCGCTGGCGGCCGTCCCCTCGCGCTGGGATCGACCCGCGGGCTTGTTTGGTTATTTTTGGTCATTTTGTTTCAGCAAGGTAAGAACTGTGAGAGAGGGAGAGCAGGGTGAGCCTCGTTTGCCAGTGACCCTAGGTCACTGAAAATGATAAAGTACTGCAATTAAGCAAACATAAATTAGAAAAAAAAAACTAAAATATTGTCAGTGTACAGCACTCCGACTGACCCTAGTCAACTAACCAATCAGACGCGAGTACTCACCCTCGCACGCACTCACCCTGGCCAGCCAATCAGACGCGAGTACTCACCCTCGCACTCACCCTGGCCAGCCAATTAGACGCGAGTACTCACCCTCCCACTCACCCTGGCCAGCCAATCAGACGCGAGCATCCGCCCTCTGAACGACTCTCACCCATCCCCCTCTTTAGGAGAAGAAGGAGGAGGAGGAAGAGAACCCGAAGCACGTGGAGATCAAGAAGATGATGGACACCCTCTTCCTGAAGCTCGACGCACTCTCCAACTTCCACTTCATGCCCAAGCCGGTGAGAGAGCGAGGACGTCCCGTGGCAGTCGGAGCGAGCGAGCGATGAGCGCGAGGTGCCGCTTCCGAGTGTGCTCGTGGTGCGGCGTGCTCGACGGCTCGTGTTGGACATTCTCTCTCTGCATGTGCCAGTCTGTGTGTAAGCAACAGCACCGGGGAGATAAAGGCAGCCGGGCGTGGTGCTGGCCACCCATCACCCTCGTGTGCCGTGCCGACCTTCATAGGTTGCCCCAAAAGCATGTTAATTGCTACGTGGCGGATCTTTGTTTTTGTGTTGTTGATGAGCAGCAGCGCAGCGATTGGCGCATGAGCTACGAACCAACCCGTGTTCGAGTCCTGTTCATGGCCAACATCGCTGACAAAGATTTGAACTGGGCCTCCCCTAGGCTGACTCGGCCTTCAATAATAAGTACCTGGTGCGATGTGCAAACTGGGGAGACAAAAGCTTCCGGGTGTGATGCTGGTCACCCACCCCTTCGTGCGGGACCGTGTTGGCCTTCATAACTGCTCGCGAACAGCACTTGCCCCAATGGCCTGTTGAGGCTACACAGGGGATCTTTTCTTGGTTGCTGACGCCCCCCCCCCCGCCCGTGTGTTTGTGTACGCGTGCCGTGACGACCCCGCAGCCCGTGCCGGAAATGAAGGTGGTGGCGAACGTTCCGGCCATCACCATGGAGGAGGTGGCACCCGTGAACATGAGCGACGCGACGCTCCTCGCTCCCGAGGAGATCAAGGTTCGTGTGCACGCACACCCAAACACAACAACTACAACAGCCGCCATTCGCCACTTAAGTGGAGGTGATGTCACCACGGCACTTGTGCCAGGCTAGGTGCACTTTGAGGCTACGTGATGTGTCGAAGACTCGCTGGCAGGATGTCACGGCACAGACCCAGGTGCTTTCAGCTCGTTGTGAGCGTCGCTCCTCCGTCCTCCACTGTTGTTTGATTGCAACTGCCGACAACTGCCCAGTAGCGTCCTTAACGAGCCTCCTTCAATAGAGGCCGATCTTGACACCTCTGGTAAGTCTTCTGCAAGTCCACTCAGCTCCACATATTCCTGTAAAGCATCAGCCCATCTATCTAGCCCATGCTGCACCTGTTTAGCCCCCTCTATCCAGCCTAGCACAGGCTGTTTGGGTATGCGGTGGCTGGGCATACGGGCTTCGCGACCCAGCCAACGCAGCCTCGCCTGCCGGAGGAACTTAGTGATGCGACTGTGTTTAGATCTTTCAAGGATTTGTGAGCTCACATAATCCAGTCTGGTTATGCCCAGGATGGATCGTGGACAGGGCAGCCTGAGTGTTTCAAACCGGTGTAGATGTTCCATTAGAGGGACCCATATTTGCAAGTACAGAGAAGGGAGGGCATAACTGTCGGTAAGAATACCAAAAGCTTTGTGTGGAGTGACAGACCAGGTAGCATGCACATAGCGTTATGCAGCTGATAAAAGATAATGCCTCTCGACTGATTCGGAGTGAGACCTCTGCTGCCAAACCGGAGCTGGTGAAAAGCACACTGTAGAGGTATGCAACCCCCTCTCCACAACTCCTCTGTCAATGGGAAGTTGAGGGGTAGAGTGTTTGATCATACAAAATACCCAGGTAGGTGCTTAGTTTTGGTGGGGCTAATGATAAGGCCCCCACCTCTTAGTCGCACACTCCAGGTTCAGCAGCAGTCTCCAACTCCTCAGAGTGAGCAGCAATTACCAGATCATGAGTATACATAACATGGTTGACTAAGAGAGGGAGCCTTCCCTTGACCGCACCCGGGCATCGGTCAGCCTCTCATTGTATCTGTACCAGCTGTAAATTCCTCTGGTACACCCATGTAATGCTCCAACTTCGCGGTCGAAAAATGTTAAAATGTCGGAGCCAGAGGACACCCTTATCATTATGTTCCATCTATCTAACCACGAGTGGTGAGACCTCGGTGGCATCGATCTTTGTAAATGTAGTTCCATTACAAAAAACAACTCCACACACATATGTCAATAGCCCTTCTTTACAGCAGAGGCCAGAGAGTGACCGATCCAATATTTTTTCTGTTTAAGGCGGTGTTATTGATTATTTCCAGTTTTTTTTATTTGGCTTGTGCAGCACTGCCAATGCAGTATCACCACATAATCCGCTCCATTACAATGCACGTTTCGAGCGTATATCTTCCCGGTGAAGGTTATTGTTAAAAAAAAAGATGAAACACTTTTCTTCAATCTTTCCCCCCCCAACTTTTTTCGAATTGTGCAATCCACGTCACGAGATGAAAATCTGTTTGGAACAATGCTCCCCCCCCCCCCCCCCCCCATGTGTTGGAGAGCGGCCCGCAAGGGATACGACAGAACGACTTCTGAAATCACTTCGTGTCGATTGGTTAACTCCTAAAGGCCCAAAGAGTTTGTTTAATTCCACGCAGTAGAGGGCAGCACTTTCCCACCCACCCGGATGCAGGATTAATGTTAACCACATGGCCGCTTCAGCAATATTCTTCATTGCCAGAGCTGGAATTTTGACAAATGAAAAAACTAAATGAATATAATGGGAGTTTGTGCATTCTGGTGACCAGGCTAAGAACATCATGTCGCTACGTTTCAGAACCTTGCTTAATCACAAACCTGCTTATGGGGTCTGTCAATTCATGGGTCTCTGCAGTGTATGGGTCTCTGATAGTCCATGGAAGTCTGTGAGTCTATGGGTGTCTATGTCAGTCCATGTGTCTCTGTGTGAGCATATGGAGGGGTCTGCATTGTCATTAATGTCTGGGCTGGGACCATCAACTCACTGCACTTGAGAACCCAGGTGAATCCCTTGGCAGCGGACACCTGGATTCCAACGCAGAGTCTCAGCAGTGCTGCCTCAGCGCTCTGGCCCCTGATGAGGCCACAAGGCGACCATGTTTTCAGCCTCACGTCTAAGCATTTACAGAACCCACGCGAAGTAGCGTGAGGATGACCTATGGGTGGACTGGTCGCCACTATAAAAATATGAAATTCTCAGCACTGGCTCAGCACTGGTTTAATGAGGGGAGCAGCTGAAACCCGCATTAAAATCCTGGATCTCAGCGACTTGCGCGGTATGCCCATTCCTCCCGGCCATTAAAAATAAAACCCACGAATTAAAACTTTGCAAACGCTTGCATTGGCTTCAGGAGAAGAAGAAGGGCGGCGAGGAGGTAGGCGACCTGGAGAAGACGGCGTCGCAGCGCAAGCGCGAGCGGCGCCTCAAGAAGTCGAGGAAGCGCTTGAAGCAGCGCGAGAGGCAGCGGCGGCAGAAGGTGCTGGAGGAGAAGAAGCCGGGGCTCACGGGCAAGATCGGCAAAAGCAGCGCCGAGCACAAGCTGCAGCAGCTGACGCGCGAGGGCAAGGCCTCGCTGCTCAAGGTACACGGCGGGGCGAGTGACGTACTGTTTGTTTTGCCCTCTGGACTATTCTGAACTCCCCCTGCCCCGGGGTCCTTCTCTCACACCTCCGATTAGCAGGTTGGCTACGTACGGTGCAAAAGAAGTTCAAAATACATACAGACATGCATACGTCAAAATACTTTATATTTGAGATGAGTTTCAGATTAAACATTTTCACATTTTCTGGCACATTCCGGGTGGTTTGGCGATTTGGTCTTAGGCCAGATCTTTACATGCGTAGTAGTTATTATTGCGCTGCGTTTTCACGACCCAGGACACTTGCGTATGACAGTCGGAATTTAAGACAGCCCCACGGATCCGCACGGCTGGTGACTCATTGTCTCTCGTGTCGACTTGTGCCCTGTGTGTGTGCGCGCGATCCACAACTTCAGGACGAGGGTAAGGGAAAAGCCCTGCGATCGTCGCAGGCGTTCTTCACTCAGCTGCAGGAGCAGGTCCGAACGCAGGTGAAGAGCGACAAGGCCAAGGGGTCGCGCAAGACGACGAAGTCGAAGGTCTCTGCCTCCAAGCTGAAGCTCTGAGCCCTTTGGCATTTTTTATTTTGATTTCTCTGGAATAAAGACCAGGCAAGAGTTCTGCCACTGGGTTTTAAAAAGGTTTCCTCGTGCTGTCATTGATGCTTGTTTTTTCATCACTGTTAATAAGATGAGTACTGTTTTTAAAACGATTGCATCGCGAAATGCACTGTGGTTAAGAGTTCTCGTGAATGTGATGTGTACGATCGGTTTAGGGTGCCACGCTATTGACTTTGATTCCCTGGCACGGCTCACATCAGTGGCGAGTGACATCTGAAGTCGCTACTCCTGGGCCTCCCCCACTTTCACCAACCTGCCCCGACTGGTATCAAGTATGGTCAAACAACCCCAATGGGGAGGCCATGCAGCAGTGGATTTCTAAGGCTGTGTATAGGATTTAGTAATTACATAATTTTTATTTTATTTATACCTCCGCCACATCTACTTTATTGGTATATTATGGGCAAGTCGAAGTCGTGTAGGCAACTGGCAAACTCCACCAACTTGCGAGGCAGGGCTCAACCATATGCCCCTTGGATAAAAAAAAAACCCCTTTGTAAATTATTTCCATTGTCTACAGGTATGGAGTCTTTCATAATACAGCTTGTTTTTGGGTTAAATTGTGTAAATGTCTTTAAACCTGCCGCAGCCAATGAGTAAGGTTTGTCACAAACTGAACATGACAATTTGTTACTAGTACACACCGGTGTGTTGGAGAGTAAACCCACGTTTTGCCAGTAATTACAACTAGCATCAGGCGGACAGCCAGATGTGGAGAAATATTTGTTTCATTCCTTTGGAGGGATAGATGTGATGGTGTCATGAGTCCTTGTGTGAAGGCCAGACCCCCCCCGGGGGGGGGAGTTAATGAATGCATATAATTTCCAACTTATCAAACCCCTTCGTGCCAGTTTGCATGAACAGCCATTGACCAATTGAGTCCCAGGGCCAATTCCCTCCCATCTCCATTCTCTCCACCATTGGTGTGCAGGCTGCCTCCACTGCCCCACTGTGGGAGCTCTGGGTGCTGCCAAGGCCAACAATATTTTCAGCGGCGTACAATGGGTAACTCAACCTTCTCACCCAGGAACAGGAAGGGAGATTGCCATGGTCGTGGCTCATCTTCAGCACGAGGACATTGATCTTTTGAGTAGAGGATTAATCGGCTTTGCCCATTTTATCAAATGGTTCATTGTACAACTGTTTAAATCCTGAAATATTTAAGGCTGTAGAGTAAACGCTGCACCTGAACACTTGTGGTAAACGCTGAAGGTTTAGACAATTCCAAAATTGGATGACCTTTTTTTAAATGTAACCCAATGCTTTTCTTTACCAGCAACCAGATGTAAAGGCTTTTTGATGTCTCAAAGTTGTACTTGTCAATATAAACATTTCAATACACAAATCAAACGCATTCTTGTTTCTTTCTCACCACCACACAACCATGATACAGAACACAATGCATGTCACCTGGCCACTGGATTGGGCTTCAGCCCCTTTTATTTTTAATGTTTATAATACACACCATACTCTACAATACAGATTATTTTAGATAAACATTTTACAAGAAATGAACGTTCTTGCAACGGCCAAACTAGACAGCTTCGTTTTGTGAACACGCTCTGCAATCCTCGCCAAGTGCAAAGATCATTATTCGGTCCCTGGTTTTGCCGCTGGAATAACCCAAATCAAACGGTGACGTTTAACCTCCTCAGTGGCAAAAGGATGACAAACTGGGTTTAAGGTATATATATTTTTACAATGCCGACTTATCAGGACACTTCAATTTGAGATACTCCCCTTAAAGCAGGTAAGGGGGGGGGGGGGCTTTCAGATAGCTCTGGCAGGTGACATGAAAACACTTTGGCAGCATCTCGTAACAAATTAGGACTCAACGCGTTTCCAATTATCGAAACGTGTAACCAAGTGGAAAACAATCCCACACCCCTACCGTAAACCATTCAACGATGTCCTCGCTCAAGCGTAGTGCCAACTTGCAGCATTCGCAAATGTGGCGAGATGTGATCTTAATTCCATCAGTTCTGACTGCACGAGCAAGTCTTACATATTCTGGGGTGGGTGGACTCATGTCAGAATCTTTGCAGGTTCCAATGAATTTGCAAATATGCACACAGGCAGTTGCAGAAGACGTAAAGGCTGGCTCAATTACACCTTCGTAAAACAAACACGCCCCCCCCCTCTCAAACTCTACACTACTTTGAGGCACTGTGGTTACCAGTGGTTGCTCAGAAAATGTTTGAAATGCATTGGCTGGTAGTGCCACCATTCGTGGCACCTGTGTTTTCATTTAAACCTGGCCAACATCCTGCATCCAGAGCACGTGGCTATAAATGGCAAGGTGTAACTTTACAAGTTTGGTGAAGTTGCCATGACAGTATTTTAAATATTTAGTTACCAAAGTCCACCTATGCACCCAGAACACCCTAAAGTGCTCCCTGTTGCATCCCACACGTTTGAGGTGTAGCGAAACTCCCGAGTGTGCAGCTATCGAGCTGATGAGCAAGTGGCAGCCGGCACCATTCACTGCGGCAAAAACCTGCCAAGTAGACTTCCAAGACCACACGGTAAATCGACCAAAACCAGCGGTAGGCTGAGGAGGGTAATGCACATCCATTAAAATTGCAGGTTATCTTTTCAGTATATGTTGCAGTTCGCAGGGTATTCCACTATTAACCTATGTAAGTTACATGTTTTTCTTAAATTATGTATTGTGCAAAGCTGCTAAATGTCAACCCTCCTGAATAAGAGACAACTTAGCGTGAATTAATGAGTAAATTCCACAAGTATTTAACCACAAATTTACAATTCGAACAAACCAAGCAGATCGGAAGCTGAATATTATTGCAGCAAAGAGGCCATTCTCTCGTGGCAACGCGGGTGTCAGCTGTGATGTGGATGGGTGCAGGACAGGGGTCAGTAGGTCGCATGCTTAAAACATACCAGCTCGCTGTACAGACCATGGAGCAAGCGCCTTGTGTCAAAGGGTGTCATTTTACTGTCACGAGTCTTGCGTGTTGGCAAATGTTAAACGTATCGCTTCTGGATTACAGAATGTTTAAAATAACCCCCCCCTCAAGGTATTTCATTATTTATGAGCCATGTTGGAATTTGCTATCAAGGTGAGTACCGGTAGGAAATTATACATCTCAGGAACCACTTACAACAAGGCTGCTGCTAATTCCAGGCTATGAAGTATAAACGAAACAGATGCCAGCACTGGCTCGATACAGCATTCTCGGAGTATCTTGTGATCCACTAAAAAAAGTGCCATCGAGCCAAAATGAAATCTATCTGCTGACCGACCCGGTTCATGAGCTTGGGCACAAGTTCACCAAAACATAAATCAGGAAAATGCTGGCAAGATATTTCATGTTACGATGAAAGACAGCCGCTGAGTACAAGCACAGCTTGGCAAACTCCATGCTCTCCTTGACTCCATTCCCACTCCGTTCCGCAACTGGTTTATGCAGCAGCCTTAAGGTAAATCGCTCCGTCGACATCTTTACCCTGCATCACAAACTTGTCTCGTGACGAATGAGGTTTACAGCGGAGCAACTATTTTAGGCCGTGACACACCAAACGCCACCACGACATGAACGCGCGTCAAGGTTTATACGGTTTGCGAGAGAACAATTGTGCGCGCCGAGGATGAAAAATCTGCCATAGGGATGGGATTTACAACAAACGCACTGGCGCTTACAGTGACCGGCATGAAGCCGTGCATGTAGAGAATGTGCTGCGTGTGCGTGTGTGGCGGTTGGTGGCTTGGGGGGGGGGGGGGGCAGACCCTTAGGCCGTACGGCACTGCACGCCGCCGTGCTGCGGGCCGTCCTCGTCGTCGTACACGTCCCCGTTGTGCCCGCGCCGTTGCGTCGGGTCGATGTTGGTGAGATGCGCTTCCTCCATCTCCTCGGTGACCATCGGCTCCGGAGGGCTGGGCAGGAGAGAGCGGAGCTCGCCGAGCCGATCCACCTCCAGCCAGCCGGCTTCCGGGAACGACACCTGTGAGTGAGCGAATCCCATTAGTTGGTCCATGCGACGTCGCACAGTTGTTGTTTTGGTGCCAGCTTGCATGTGTGTGTACAGCTCTTTGGGAACCAGCAGTAGTGCATTTACCACTCGTTGCAGAGGTTCTCAGAATCTAACAGGGCTGGTGCACTAACCATAAAATGAACGCAGTCTACTTCACTGTGGACGTGAAAAGATCCGGTGATGTCATTCACAACGAGTAGGTCATCGTGTCATGGATCAAGTTTGAAAATTACTCCCAAGTTACTCAATTGGCATTACACTTCAATTATCGTCCTCCTACTGGTCGACCAATGTCCTCTTGCCGGCCAGGTGCCAAGTCACCTTGTGCTATACACAAGGACAGCTGCCACTTGGGGTACCGTTTCAAAAGTTTGAGATGAAATACAAGCCACTTATCGAGTGTAAAGTGCTCCGAGATGCTCTGGCGTGGAGTGTGCCATGCTAAAACAAATCGTTGTTATCCAATATTGGATCAAGGCATCTCCGTGTCATGTTGGGGTTCTTTTTTCATTATACTGCACACCACCGGTCAGTGAAGGCTGGTGAAGGGGGAGCTAGGACCTGTTCTGATATAGTTCACTACTGTTAGCCCTGGCTGGGAATTAAACTCGGGTTGCCTGATTCGTAATTCACTGCAACACCACTCCACCCTTATCACCACATCAAAACAAAAGTCGACCATCCCTCTGCTCAAGCTCACACAAGCATGGTGGGCTCTGACCCAGCAAAAGATATTCCAAATTCTAGGAGATGGAAAAACTAAACAAAAGCAGTCCCCCCCCATTCACATTTCACGACTTACAATCTGAAACTAGTGCACTCAATGATTGATTCTGCTGCCAAAAACACCACTCAAACCTACGAAGCACACTAACATTTAGACGCACAATTTTGAAACGGTAGCAACGAATGATGAAGGCAATGGTGATGGTGACAATCAGTATCTGAAATGGCCAATGAAGTGTTCAAGCCGGGTCACCGATTGCATCGATATAAATGCCCCTAACCAGCAGCTGTGCACCTTGTACGTGCCGCCTGGCTCTCTCACCTTGAAGTGGATGATGAGACGCCCTTTCTCGAAGGGGTTGCGGTGAAACGGCATTCCTTCATTCAGCACACACTTGATGGCATCGTACTTGATCACTTCGCCTGCGAGTGTAAACAGAGGGGGAAGGCAATTGATACGTGCACGACTTTTGGAATAGCTTTCAGCCTGCATGCACTTTTCCATACGATTTCAAGGAATCACCTTTCTCTAAGCGTGTTATAAACCCTCATTTGTTTCCAGTCAGCATGCACGTTGCCATCAGTTTCTCATCATTTGTGGAGATTGGTTAGTTTGTTTATTTTGCCCCTCAAGCAATGCCAGACACCCTTCACGATGATCATGAAGGGTTTGTCCACAAATTTTCGGAGGCGCATGGCAACTATAGAAATGACGGCGTTAACTGTATTAATGATTCCTACCAAGGGGGGAAACCAGGATGAAGTTGTTTCAGTCCTAATGCTGAAAAATAACATGGTCATAATATTGAATCTTGTGCCCTAAAACAAGGCAATTGTGCATTGCAGTTTGGCGAGGTCACGTAATTGCCAAAGCATGACACATACAGTGAGATTGCGCCGACTGCTGTATAGCAGCGGCAACTGTGGTGGACAGTTTGTGCACACGCCGTTGAGCTTATACACGGTGTGTGTGTGTATCGGCAGGGCGGAAGAACTGGGGCAGGGGTCGGCAACCTACAGCTCCGGAGCCGCATGCGGCTCTTTACGGGCTGTTTCTTGACGATGAGTACGTATGTACTCAGATGCATTGCGGCTCTTGAAATACTGAATTTTGTACCGAATTGGAAAGAAATGGCTCTTCTTGTTATTTTGGTTGCCGACCCCTGAACTGGGGCAAGGGTCACGGAAGACCTCATCTGGAAGCCCCTGGAACCCGCTGGTGGGTTTGAGAAGCGTGTTTGTGTTGTCCCACGCATTACAATGTCCGATATTTCGCTCCATGTCCTCGCAACTTCTCCGAGTATTGAATTCAACTGAAATCAGACAATGCCTAACACGAGGTAACAACCCAATTAGAGATTTGAGCACTGAAAACTCTACTGCTGGATATTAAAATGTATACTTATCAATCTGAAGAAAACAACCTAGCAACAATAACTTTGTGTAGAGTTAAGGGAAGTCTTTAGGCACCTGGGTGGGAGGTGATGACGATGGTGCGGTTGTCAAGTGTCTTGATGGGCCGTCTGAAGCCGCACAGAGCCTCTGTGAGACTGATCTCCATCTCCATCAGCAAATCCTGTCCCTTTCTGTGGACGAAAACAACGCATTTAACGGCGTGCACGTGAAACTCAAGAGAGTTGTCTTCATTAATATTATCATTATTATTATGCGTGTTTACCCAGGAAAGCCCCACTTCAGTCTGAAGACTCTTTCAGGAGGGCCCTGTCACGTTTTCACAGTTGGAGGCAATGTAGCTGTGTGCAATCCAAATTTAGTCATTTTCAGGTAATTTTTCAGCATTGGGATGTTTGGCCAATACCAATGTATATGTTTCTTTTAGCTATTGGAGGACACCCCCATGCAGAATAGGGGGATAATATACAACTCTCGACAGAAAAGCCCCCGAGTTGGGAATGAAACCCAGGCGTTTCTTGTTGAGAGGCACGAGTGCTACCACTGTGCCACCCCAATACGGGTTTGAGGATTAGGATTTGCATTTGTTAACTACTTAAATTCCAAGGGATCTCAAAGCGACTTACAAATACAGAGACAATGAAAAACACCAGGGCATAAAAATTGTTCCAAAACTTAGCAAAAAAAAGGCATTTTGGTTTCTCTTCATGAAGTCTGTCTTGCTACGTGAAACAAACGCGAGTTAAACATATTGCCCAGCAATTAAATACGTGACGTGTGAATGAGAACAGTCAATTTGCTTTGAAGCCAAACACATGAATGACACCGTGTCCATTTTGTCTGGACATGCCTGACAGACAGCTGATGGGCAAGTTCTCTGAAGCGGTGCATCACATCCACTCACGCACTGTTGTGATTCTGTTAACAATCTCGCCACAGTGCATATGCCTCTAAGCGCATGCAGTATACCTCAGAGGACGTCATATATTCAGTGTGGCAACCTAGTGGAGGAAAATATTACTACTGCTACAGAAGACATTGGATCAAGTGGAGCTTGGCATTCAAGATGGTGGCAGCTGGTGGAAGTTCAGTGTCCACTGCAACGGACATTTTCAGAAATCTGTGAATAAACTATATTCAGTATGCTTATCATTTGGGTGGGGTTTCCATTGACTAAAAACACACTAAACCAATAAAAATGTGTATTTTACTAGACAACCTGTAGCCGGCTAATGGCAGCTATGCTGTATGCCTGAGTCCAGAACTAGAGACAAGGGTTGGTGGCTCACAATTGTTTTTAAATGTCCAAACCCCTTTAGGCTGCGAGGTTTCCATCTCCTGGCTTCCCCAGGCTTGGCAGTACAGCAAGTGTATCATCTCCATCTGTACGGAGATTGAGTGTTAACTCCGGCTAGCACGCATGGGGTTTCTCTGCGTTCTCCAGTTTCCTCCCACATGTATGAACACTCATGAATGGAATGGCCAATCATCCCAAGAGGTCCGGAGAGCTTTGGCAATTATTTGTGCCAATTCTGGCTACCCTCTTGCTTGTCTGCGGTTTCCCGCACTGCCGAATCCTTCTGGCCCACGTAAAAAAAGTCATAGAAAAACTGTGCATGTGACAAATGTGTGAAATTATTGTTTAGTGTTTGTGGTCTACGTCTCTGCCCGACGCAGCAGTGCCCCCCCCGCCCCTCACACCTGCGGAACACGTCGTGCTCCTTCTGGTCGAGCACGATGATGACATCTCCAGGGTCCAGGCCGGGTTCCTGGTCGCCCTCCCCGTAGAACGAGATCTTCTGGTTATCGGTCATTCCTGTACATGGTCAGGCATGCAGCCATTAGCAACACGTTACCGCGTAGCTTGGGCGCTGTTAATTGTCAATAAATAAATCTTAGCAGAAGCTGGAATGCTAAGAAAAAAGTTAGGCTATATAGAACCTTGGTTATATGCAACCATCTGGCCACATGGCTGACCAGCTCTGAACCAATTCCTCAACCACATCAATTCCATACACACAGCCATCAAACTCACCATGGAGTTGTAAAAGGATGGCAAGCTACCATTCTTGGATGTTTTAATCGAAAAGAGACCAGATGGCTCAATGGGCCACTGTTTACAGGAATGCCACCCATACGGATGCCTACCTAAAACCTGACTCCCACCACCATCCATCCCAGAAGAATTCCCTCATCAAAACTCTACACCATAGGGCTCGATGTATTTCCGACCGTCATCACCTAGCCAGTGAACTGGAGCACATACACCAAGCCCTCAAGATGAATGGATACTTGAACTACATAATCCATAAAGCTATCACCCCAACTGTTGGGAAAGAACCATCTGAGGACCCAATCAAAACCATCACCTTGCCATACATAGCAGGGGTCATCAAAAATATTTACAAAATCATGAGTAAACAAGATCCAAGTTCGATCTAACACAGTACGTAAAATTCGTGATCCGATCCCATCTGTGAAGGATGTGATCTCTGACATGCAATACCCCGGCGTCTACAAACTAAGATGTATCTGCGGCAGTAGTTACATTGGGGAAACTAAGCGACATGTCTCGGACCGTGTTCGTGAACATAAGGCAAATCTGAAACATGGTAGGACCAATACTGCGGCTGTGGCTGATAATTGTTTTGATGCAGTGGGCTCACACGAAATCGATTTCTTTAAGATGAAGGTACTTTACAAACCCACTGGCTATCAATAAAGATTCGTTCATGAAGCCATCCATATTAACAGACAGACACAATTTCAACTGAGAAGATGGTTCCAAACTCAGCAACCACTGGAAGGACGTTATCAACCAGTTTAAGTCATAACTGGCTGTAATGTTTCCATTTTAGACCTGGCAGCCCTTTAATTGGTGGAAGCCCACCACCAGGACCATCACTGCCCACTGCTACCATCACCACCAGCAGCAACCTCCACCGCCACCAGTGTGTGTAATTACCTGGCAGCACCACCCTACATGCTGCTTGGGGGACACCGTTTTTAATCCCTTACATTAACATTAGCTACCCCGCCCATGCTACCGACACTTAGGCTACGCCCATTTTAAACCTTTATAAACAGTTTGCCTTAGAGACCAACCCCCTTTTCCCGATGACAACCGCTTGTGTTGCGATCGAAACGTCGTAGTTTTTTTACCTATCTACGTGACTTTACCGAAAGACCCAAAGATTACAATTTTATAATGCAGAAACTTGGGCACTGACATTTTATACACCTTGTTTTGGTGGCAGACCGACGTTCAGATTAACTGAGAATCACACTCCCATGAGCAGAGGTTGGAACATTGCCTGGTGCTGGGAATCACCCCCTACAGCAGTTACGCAAAGCTAGAGATGGACAGTTGGAAAACTGGTCACGAGTTTGCTTCCAATGGGTGCTTAAATGTGGGTGTTGCCCAGGCAATTAACTACAGAAAAATATTAATATTCGCGGGGATATGTTCCTGCAGAACGTCGCGAATATTAACACTCAAAGCTTACGAGGAAAATATATCGGGGGCATAAACATATATGATGTTTAAACAAACTATATTAATATATATAAAATACATACTGTATATTATTGTGTTAACTTACCTCTAATAATGACGAACATAAAACATATGTAAAAGTGCAAATACAAATGAATATATTAATATTTTATGGTATTGTGTCACTTTTCGTTTAGGGCCATGACTCGCGGTAAAACGGTGCCCAATTATTTAAAAAAAACTGTACAGGAAGGAAGCTCGTGTGTCAACAGTGAAGCAGCAGCAGGTGGACTGAGGGGGAGCGTCACATGGGGAACTTTCACGGTCTCAACATCGACGCCACTCCCAGGCATTAGTATACTACATACCGTACTTCTCGTTGGGTAGTCGTCTTATACAGCCGCAAATTTTTAAGACAACGCCGTGAATTCCCAATCACACTACAATAATTTTGATGCAAACAAACGAAACCACGATTATAAACAGTGTGAAAATTAAGGGTTAATTGTATTATTAAAGCCACTCTGGGGGCAGTTGTTAAAAATCAACTTGACTTGAACTGGCTGTGACAAAAATAATCGGGGCTTAACCTGCGATAGACGAAAGCAATCGGTAAAAAGGTATCTTCACCTTTGTCGATGTGCACTTCTAAAATCTTCTTCTCCTTGAGGATCTTCTTCCCGTTGCAGTTCTTGCACCGGTCCTTTGCTTTTATGCGCTCTCCCTCCCCGCTGCAGTCGGAGCACTCGCGCTGGATCTGCTGTACGAAGCCCGGCGCGATCTGGCGGATGTGCACCTGCACGCCCGAGCCCCGGCACTCCGGGCACCGCTCCACAGCACCCTTCTTGCCGCCACGTCCTGCACAAAACACAAACACGCCGAAGACGCAGCGGCACACTGAGTATCCAGTCATTACCCCACGGGGGCACCCATTTTGGTTGTTTTCAGATTAAACCACGCTCATTCTTCAAAGCCAAAAGACCCGTTGTTGTTGCATGGGGTCACCATTGCATCACCATTGCTCAATTTAAGACCAAAACGGGAAGACTTCACAATTTTGGCTAATCACCTAATGAAGCTGGATGTCATCATCACCTGCAAAATGTCATACTCGAATTGTAAATGTTGTTGGTTTACTCTCCAACACACAAGCGGTGTGCTGAAACAGTAAGTAATTGGCACGTTTTGTTTACGTGACAAACCTTCCTAATTGGCTGTGTTGTTTACGAGATCTAGCCCAAAAAACAACCTTTATTACAGATAACATTAGTCGCGAAAGCCTACGTGTTAAACTAACCCTGTAGTTCTATCCACATCCTTTCATCTCACCCTCGGTGACCCTCTATTCCTCATATCCTCAATTGGCATCTCCTCCATATCCCTGCTCATCACATATACTTTGTCTCTTCTCAATAAGTGCTAAAACCAAGTCTCACCTCCCTAACTTTCTCGAGATTATTAGTAACTCCATGCTAAGGTTAAAAAAAATATCAAAATTTATCACGGAAAGGTAAATAATGTGTCTATGAAATGTATATTATGCAGATGTTAAGAATTTCATCGAACAAACTTGCTTACAGTAACGTAACATTTTTTTTTTATGGTTCGGCAGTTAACCGCTCTTAACCAACTTATTTGTGTATCTAGACGAAGTCGCATTAAATCTGTATTTCCCAAGCTACTCGGAATATTTATGGCTTTCAGATGGCTCCCAATGTCACTTCTGCACATTTGCCAGTGCGAACTTGGTTAATGGATGCAAACAACGCGGCCGTGGAAATACAGTTAATGAATGCAAACAACGCAACACCGTGCAGCAAACTAAGCATTCCCACAAACATAAAATTCACTCCACATCTCCCCAAGTTCTCGACTGGATAGAAAAACTTACCATAATAACGCAAAATGTAGATTTTCCTCTATAGGATATCATGAACTAAAACTCAGTCGTTACTTATAAATGATATTTGCATATTTATAATGGCTTTGTCACGAGAAAGTTTGACTCACCTTCGCATTTGTCGCAGATGACATTTTTCTGCATGGAAAGCTTGCGTGTAGCTCCGTTATAAAGATCCTCCAAGCTCACAGATATCTGATGCACCACATTCTTTCCTGAAATAAGATCACATGTGTCAGTGGAACCTTCCTACAACAGCAACGCTGCCATTTATAACAGTCTTGTGAACTGTTGCACTTAATGTCCAGCACACACACTGCTTGTAAACGGGATACATGTTCAGCCCTTTTTTAAATCAACTGCTGGATGAGCCCCCCCCACCCCCCCCTGATCCATGTAGGATAATGGGGCGATATGACTAAACTCCACCAGGGTGGTCCATGCACGTTTTTGAAGGTGTGGAGCATAGATATGGAAAAATAGTGCAGTGCAACAATAGATTTTGTTGCACTGCCCTATGCTGATACTGTAGCTTTTAAAAGCCGACAACATCCGGTTTAACGCTTGGTGGTCGCTCATCCAAGCACCATCTCGGCTCAACCCTGCTTAGCGTCCGAGATCCGACGCGACTGGGCACATTGCGAAGCGATTTGGTCATACGCGTATTTTAGTTATATCCATAAAAAAGGGCCATGGGTTTAGCTTCAGATTAAATTGACTTCTCAATCACAAAACAAATATAACACTCAATTCGAAACAAAGACACTGTAGGATCAGATTGCGGTACACTTCCATTGGGCGTGTTCCAGATACCGGTTTGTATATTCTTACCTTTTGTCTCACGTTGCATGCTTCCTCCACCTCCGAAGAACATGTTGAAGATGTCCATGGGCGAGCTGAATCCTCCGCTACCGCCTGCGCCGCCCTCCTTGATGGCCTGCTCCCCACCCCGGTCGTACAGCTCCCGTTTCTTCACATCTGACAGGACTTCATAAGCCTGAGATATCTGCTTGAACTGTTAATGCGACAAAACAGAAGCCACGAGTAGAATAATCATACTTTTGTAATTGCAACTTTTTGTTCAGCGTTAAAACATGAAACACTACAACCAAACCACCCGTTGTGTTCTTCATCTCAGACCCCAGAAGATAAGCACAGTCTTAGGATGGGTGACTACAGGGTACATGAAGTTGTCAGATGTTGTGGGGCTGGGTGGTGGGCACCAGAGAGAAGAGAGGCAAAATCAAACGTCGCACTGTACATCAGATACATTTTTACACATCTTGCCCACAGTGACCAGGATGGGTAAGTATGGCTAAATAACCCCCACGGCATGGGAAGGCCCTCATAGTATGGCTAAATAACCCCCACGGCATGGGAAGGCCCTCATCCAGCAGTGGATTAACAAATGGTTGCACGTGTACATACTTGAACAATACACAACTCCAATAACCGTGATCCAATAATCCAGACTTCCTCTAATTTGCAGATTATTCCCAGTTCACGATTGCTCCCTTAATCCGCAGCGCACCGTAGAAGGTTGAAACGGCTTCACGGAGCAAACACCACAAAGTGGAGAAATGGATGGGGCTAACCTGAGGCTGCAGAAGTGGAGCTACAGGGAAATGCTGATTTTATATATTTTTTTTATTTGGAAATATTGATTTGTTTTGCATCAGCACACAGGAGCTGTTTAGCATCAACATTTTTTAAAAAAAAAATCTAAATATTTTTTTGCTAGACTTGGCTATTCGCTCTAAATATGACTAAAGAAACCTTTCAGAGACCAGGGGTCGGCAACCTGCAGCTCTGGAGCTGCATTCGGCTCTTTAAGAACTGCTTTGTGATGTTATTTATTAAGAACCGTCTCGCATTCACATGGGAGTTTTTTTTTACAAATTCTAAAGATGGCTATTCTTGTTATTTTTATTTTGGTTGCCAACCCTTGACCTAGACCCATATGGCAGATCTGCACCATTTGTGTCTCAGTAAAAGCCACTACCTTATAATCCGACAATTTATTGCAGTTTAATTTATCCGCTAATCACATGCCATGCATCCCCCGTAACTCACGAATGTTTCAAGGATTAATGCAATCTTGTGGCTCTTTCCTCCAATAATTTGTGGCACACCGCGTCGGTACAAACATTTCTCCGCCTATTTGTGAGTGCTCCGCGGATTACAGGATGGCTATATCATCTCCCATATCAATGCGGATTATTGGAGATCTGCTGTATTGGCTTTCATGATTGAAGGAGAAAAACAGAGCAATCTCAAAAAAAGCAATCTTAAAAGATGTTTTCAGTGCATACTAATTGCTAAGACGTAAAGGTCAGAAACAAAGCAATTAACAAAAAAAATTGAACAAAAATGTAAAGTGCACATGCTTGGAATTAGTTTCTGACATAAAAATGGGAATTAGAGAAGATGTGCAGGCTAATTACGAATGAAATGATCCTTGCTGGTGATGATAAAGGATAACAAATGGGGTCCATACCTTTTCCCCCTCATTGGGGTTTTTGTCGGGGTGGTACTTAAGGGCGAGTTTTCTGTAAGCCTTCTTCAACTCATCTGCAGTGGAGTTCGGCTTCACACCCAGCAGATCGTAATAAGCAGTCTCCTTTACCATCTTGTCAGGCTGCTTAATCCTTCGTCAACAGAGCAAACTGCACAACAGGTTCAGTGCAGACGTTAGAAACACGTTTTTTAAAATCCTCAATACAAATCCGCAGCAGGCGGTGTAATCATTAGCACGCTGCCCTTGTACAGCAAGGTTGCCGCTCCGAGCTCCCGGCGCGGCACTTGAAACAAGGGCCACTCCCAGTCGTAGAGACGAATACGCCAGTTGGTCCATGAGCAGATCACACACATGGCGGGGTAAAGTGTGGGTACTCACACCTCTTCCCAGATGTCTGGACAGCACAAGGCCAAATATTTGGAGGTACTTCCGCCAGCAGTGGAGTGAGCAAGCAATTTCAAAAGCTGTACCTTTACTTATGACAACAAGACTCCTTGTTAACGTCAGTTAGAAAAACTAGCAGTTCCGTTTCTAAATCGTTAGCCCTATTTAGCCATCGATATCGTACGTTAATTTTAAAACAACCAGAGGCACACCGGCATGCTAATCGGGTCTTCAAAATGAAACCTTCCACGCCGACACTGCGGGTTGTGCTTTGTCATGAAAGCCTCACCTACACACGGACGTAGTTTTCATAAATATTTATACCTCATCGTGGGCGGGGCTAATGTTGTTCATTTGCAAGTATTATTATTCGAAAGATGACTCAACTGTGCTGTCATTTACGCCACTAACAGCAGTGCAGTATGTTAAGTTTCCTTTCCATTTATAGTGCTCGGCCTTAAATAATCTACACAAATGACGGGACATGATTTCCAGAAGATGCTTGCACAGACCAACATTCCCAACCCAGTTTCTCAAACTACAAATGCTTTAGATTGTCTTGTTGATTGGTGTTAAATTGCAGCATCCATATATAAAGAAATAAAAAAAACCCCACGACGTCACGCTAAACACCCCACCACCACATCAAACAAAGAAAGCCCCTAACACAATGCACTTGCCTACTATGGCAACAGCAGCGGCGGTTGTCTACAGCACTATTATACAGTACAATCATGTAACAAACGGGTTGACGCCTTTGTTACGATACATTGCATAAGCCCAAAGGCGTACAAGGGTCAAGGTATGTCGCAGCGTCAGTTTTCGTTCCTTGATACTGTACGCATCCGTAAATACGGACATGAAACCGATTATACTTCACGGTTCGCACTAAAACACAGCACTTCATCAACGTCACTGTTTTAACATCCCATCGCAAGCCCAGGGCTGGATCAAGGCTTCCCCACGCCTTCCAGTCCTGGCAATGTCTTTGCCGAGTGCGCGTTGGCGATGAGGCGGGAGGGCCCAGCCATCACTCGCCACCGATGTTCGCCGTGGATGGGAATCGAACTCACGTGAACGCACTGCGCTAATGCGCCACTGCTCCCCCTCCCCACTACCACGGGTGGTAGTTCGATTCGCACGGAGTTATACAACGGCCTCGTAGGGGTTACACAACGGGCTCGTGGGAGAAAACGACCAACGTATCTTTTGATGCTAAAACAGAAAGCAGGACCCCCCCCCCCCCCCCACAGGCAAGCCGGGACGCACAATCCAACGTCGCGAACACCGTGCCGCCGGGTGATCCCGGGCTGCCTAACGCGAGTCGTGGAGGACGCCTTCGGCTCACGATGGACGGGAAAAATCCCCCCCCCGATTAAAGTTGCGGCAGGAGCCGTCGCCTCGTGACGCCATTGCAGAGATGTGCCGTGAAGAGCGCCCGGCGGTGCGACCCTCATCTCAAACGACGTCTCTCACTCGGGGATTGCTTCGTAGCTCGTTTACGAATGACACGCAACAAAGGCGCTAATAAACGAGATCGCAAATATTGATTTTCTTCAAATAAATACATTGTTACCGGCTTGGGCCTAGTCGGTAGGCCCGGACCCTGACAGGACCACGCCGCTTGCCTGTGCGGCGCTGCGGGGAACGCGACGGCGAAGGCGGCCGCCGCGTCCAGGCAACGCGGCGGGCATCGCGAGGGGAAAAAGCTTCACGCGGTACAAAAAAAAGATTAATATATTGTAAAAAAGACAACAGACGACAACGGTCGCTGTCTCGGTTCCACTTGTGTGCGTGAGTCTGTGACTCACCGAGCCGCTCGGAGGGGAGTGAGAGTCCGCGACGAGATGGGAGCGAGCCGACGCTTTTCTATAAATGGAGGAGCGGCGAAAAGGAACCGGATCCCGAGAGGAACCGGAAGTGATCTCGGGCTGCGGCCCCCGCGTGGAACCGGATCCCGCTTCCTGGTTTCCCAGTTCTCTCTTATCAGCGCGTGGCAACTCACGCCGACAGAATAATACTATTATAGTACTATTATTATACTATTATAATACTACTATAATAATAGTACTATTATAGTACTATTATTATACTACTATAATACTATTATAATACTACTATTCTAATACTATAATAGTACTATTATACTATTATAATACTATAATACTACTATAATTCTATTATAATACTACTTTAATACTATTATAATGCTACTATAGTACTTTTATAATACTACTAGCTTTTTTGCCCGTCCAAAGACGGGTGTATATTGCAGTAAATCTGAAATATTCAATAGAAAATTGTTCAGCTCATGATTATTAATGAGGGGGGGGGGGGGCTCATGAGGAGTGACGTCACCGCTCGTGATTATTAATGAGGGGAGCGGCATGAGGAGTGACGTCACCGCTCATGAATATTAATGAGGGGAGGGGTGTGGCATGTGGAGTGACGTCACCGCTCATGAATATTAATGAGGGGAGGGGTGTGGCATGTGGAGTGACGTCACCGCTCATGAATATTAATGAAGGGAGGGGTGTGGCATGTGGAGTGACGTCACCGCTCATGAATATTAATGAGGGGAGGGGTGTGGCATGTGGAGTGACGTCACCGCTCATGAATATTAATGAGGGGAGGGGTGCGGCATGCGGAGTGCGCTCTGGGAGGAAACGGGGCTAGTCTGGAGGAACCCCACGCAGAGCAGAGCAGGGGGAGAACATCTTCATGACTCAGCCCGCAACGAGGAGTCGGCTGCAGGGATGCAGAGTCCATCTCAGTGCCCGTCACGGATATTGCGATGAGAATCGATGTTTTGTTCGAGTCTACTCCATCCCTACGTCCGACTCCAAATGTTGGAATCGAAATTACGCATTCGTTTTGTTATCGATAAAAACGAATGTATTTATTAAGCAGTAATTGTAAATATCCCGATTTGAAGCTTTCGTGATTGTAGGAATCCATACTCTTTGGTTTTTTCGGTAAAGCCACGGAAATAAAAATATTTTATTTCTAACTACGTGACTTTACAGCAAGAACCAAAGAGAATGTAAATATCCCTTTTATTGTTAGTTGTAATCTGAGGTATCAAATGTTACTTGTGAATAGGACTTTGGTGAGTATAGCTCAACATTATAGTTTATTCTCAGACAATGTACAAACACGTAGAGACCACACTTACAGAGGCTTTGCTCTAGAATGTGCCCCTTCTACATCCTGTGCCACCCTTTCTAGCAGTTCTCCTCTCTCACCCCAACCCCCCTTTCCAAGAGTTATGATGCGAATGGTCCGATGCCTCCCAATCAGATCGGTGTGGTGGCATCACCTACGAAGTTGGTTGTCAGTGGCCCTGCTACTTTTAAACTCGGCCCGCCTGTGAAGTCGTTAAGTCGTCTTGCAGACTAACCCACACAGCACAACCCTTACACTTGTTAGGGGAAATTACGAATTTAATTAGCACTTGATCATTGGCGCCCTCGAGTCTCATGTCAAACGATGTTTCTTTGTAATACGGAAGGTCCCATCGAACCAGTTACCCGAGGATGGTGCAAATCCACAACAGCGGCAGTAATGTCCACAATGTGGGCTACTCTACTCTTCGTTTGTTCATGAAATGCATAAGAAGGTGAATTGTTGCATTTGTAGAGACGAACGTGCTGCATACAATGACAATACAAAGTCATAGCCAATGTGGAAACACCTCTGGAGTTCTATGGGACATTGTTTTGCCAGTATCGAAATTACAAGACGAGACGAATCGGCTCTACCCTTCCTGGCAGTTACACAGGAGAGGTTTAGATGTTCAACACCAAATAGACACACCTATTGCAAGGCGTCGAGTTTGCATGGGCCACACATACTTGTGGCAAAAGTTTTGTTGCCAGATAAAAGGGTAAAAAAAACAATTGTCATATTTTGCTACTGGCAAAGGAGGTTCCAATGTGAAATATGTCTATTCTTATTTCCATCCGACAATAGAAACAGATCGGCGTGGTTAAAATCAATCTGTCTCTCTCCCAGTGGTCACAAATGCAAATGTGTAATTCACCAAATGTCTCATAAGTGACAACACTGCGCAAATATGGGTTTATATGTTAGCGACAAACATAAATGTGTCTTGTATGGACAAAGAGGCGATCGACCATGCACGGAGAGAAATGTGATGCTGGTTTCGAAGGCAGCAGTGGTCTGTGGGCAGACAAACAGCGACATCAGTCCCAGTCTGGAGGGGAGCTCATTGCAAAGGGATTCTCACGACCAAGCGTGTGGACACGACTCCGTGCCTCGACTAACCATCTATCTGCCGCTGAAGGAAAATGTATTGGTGCCAGGAGGTTTGTATCAACATAGTTAGTGTGTTAATCATCGTTATTTATCGGTTCGGTAAAAAAACACCGTGTGAATTTTTATTCATTCGTTCGTTTTATAAATAAAGTCGTTATTTGTTGGTTATTACAATACTAGTACTGTTTTTGTAAAAAAAATACGTGTATTTATACGTAGGTTTCCTTCAGTGTTTGATAGACATTCAGGTCCCATAAAATATTCAGAATCTTCAGTGAATGTTTATTCTGGTAATCGACTCCAACATCCTTCGGAATCGACCATCCCGAGTCGAGAATCGAACCCAGGCGGTCCGTGTGGTCAGGCTCACGTGGTGTTACCACAGCGCCACCCTGTGGCCCTGCCGCACTGACGTTACATTATTCGTTGTGACCGTTTAGCAAATTCCATAGCATCTCAACACGAAAACATTTTCGCAGCAAGAAGCAAAACAAAAGACTAAACAATCGCACGGGCTGCCGTGTGCCATTGAACGGCGTCTTGCTCGGTCAAAGGCGTAACAGTGGAGTTGTTATTTTGGTAACTAAAGCTCGCCTATAGAGACGGTTGGAATTTAATTTAATGATTCAAGGCAATAACCATGGAGTCAACATTGGGGGGGACCAAATCTTCCAGGGGGTCCGGGGGTCCCCCCCATGAAAAATTGATCGAAATTTGAAAACGAATTTCCTGCCTAAAATATAAAAAAAAATCACTAACACATAGATGGATTTTTATTAATTTTTTACAATAATGTTTAATAGTGTATTGTATTACATTGCTCTGTTTTTCTTTTTTTTACCTTTTCTTGTTTCATTGTATGTAATGGCAGAGATTAGGGATGTATAACGTACAACCATAACCACAATCATATAAACAAAAATATATTTAATAGCAATATATTGGGGGGGGGGGGAGGGGGGGTGGCATTTTGAGCATATTTGAATATTAGGTGGGATGTGTGTCCCCCAGTAAATATTATAATTACGGCCTTGTAATGATTGGATACATGCTGTGAGAAACGTCCAGGGCGGGTCAATCTCTATATTCTGTGCACTCGCCTTAGCCTGCCTCTTTGGAGGTAAGCGCTGCCTCTTCTTGAGTTTGATGGAACTCCAGCGAGCGTTGCATCGTCATCCTTAGCAGAATCTTTCATGGTCTTTTTTATCCTGGAAAAATGTGCGCAGTCCTCTCTCAGACAACTTAACACGTCCGTCAATAATACTGTGTGGCTTGGAAAGAACATATTTCATATACGACGTTTCAGGTAATGGCCCTTTTTCATAGTACAACAAAACAATCTGAAACTTATACACGACGTCTCGAGCGATGATCCTTTTTCAAAGCACAACACATTTGAAGGGGGGGCATTATCCGAAACGTCGCCTATTATTATATACGTTAATATATGCTGTGAAGAAGGGCCATTGCTGGAAATGCCGCCTCTTACATATAAATATGTCAATCTTCGTTTAAAGTCACGGTGTTGTTGAGGAATGTGTTCAGTTTCATTATATGTGCTTGTGCACCACTGCCAACACAGCAGCAGTATCACGACAGATGATATCATTATTTGTTGTAGAGACGGCGGAGCAGCGAACACGCGCACTGTAGACTGGGGGTATAGACCACAAACAGAGATAGAGTGTGGTGAGAGAAATGTTGACAAATACTGCGGTGTAATAGGGTGAGAGAGGAGAGGTACAGGTTAGGTAGAGACGTCGAGAGATGAGACGGATGTCGACAGAACAGATCTGCAGTGAGATGAGACAGACGGAGTGGAGTCAGAGAGATGTAGAAAGGAGACAGCGATGTGAGATGAGAGAAGAAAGCTGCAGAAGCGAGAGAAATGATAATGATTAAATATATCTGTCGTTATATTCATTTACTTTTATTTCTATTAGCATCTGAATTTCATAAATCTAGGTCGCCTTCATCTGCTTCGGCCCCTCTAAGCGTTTGCTTAGTTTCCTTACAACGTATCAATACTGTACCCGAAGTAGACTTGCGATACTCGTTTTTCAACCATGTGGGTCACTGTTGGCCCTTTGAAATGTTCATTTCATGGCTTTAGGAGCGTTATGCCCTAAAGGACAAGATTAATCATGGTAAGGGGAAATAAAAAACGAAATGACAGTGGTGTCTTCCCGCTGATATATTTATGTGACAGCAACAGGAGTGCACATGAGTGTTTTTGGAATTGTGGTGCAGAGAAAAAATATGTAATTGGCATGCCACTTAAATAAATAGACCTTTTCGATTTAGGGCACTTAAAATGTGCCTTCTGCTGTGAGTGAGATGTTAAAGAGCTTGCAATACAAACGTGGGTAATTCTGTGGTAGTGTTCCAGTCCTAAAACTTAAATCTGAAAATTACCTGCAATCAGGTAACAGATAAAGGCATATTTTAGTATCGCTCTATTTCTTCACGTTCCAGGGGTTTCTTGCTCAGAGTGAAGTTACATTTCACTGGGCCCTCTCACTGTGATGTTTAATTTGACCAATTGGATAGATGGCCAGTTGGCTCAGATGTCAGAGCGCTGAGCTGGCACCACTGGGCTGAAATACAGGCAGCTTCTGGCTGTCGCCTGATGAAGCTGGTTGTAATTACTGGCGAAACGTCGTACT